CATCTATAAATACCTTCTTATCTTTTACAATTTTCATCAAACAAATAATCTTTCATTTTTTCAACCTCTCCAAATTTCTCTACCATCCACTTTTGCATCAATCTCTCAAAGTTGCTTAGTTGCTTCTCGTTCTATTTGGTTATTTTTCTTAGCTTTTCTTAGTTTACTTAATTTTCTTAAGTTAAGATATCAAGTATCAAGTGAAAGGCACACTAAAGAAAAGAAGCATTTTGGTAACCTAAAATATCAAGTATCAACCCATTTACGCCATTTTGGTAATAGTATTATATTTATTTTTATTGTACTATATTAGTTATTTTATTTTGTTACAGTGATAATTTTATTTTATAATTTAAATTTGCCATTTGTTTCTTTTGTTCTTACAATATCATCATAGGTAGTTCATATCAAAATTTTGACTTGCGCATCATTTTTATTTTAATGATACTCTCGAGTCACAATTTGATAGTTCTATTCTTCCTTCCGAATCACATGATGATATAGCAAAACATAATGACAAAGATATAATTAATCAAACTGATGTTAGAGAAAAATATTGTAAGAAAAGAACGAATGATGTATGGAATGCATCTAAAATAGAAGAAGTTGAAGGTAAATGGACTAGAGCTATATGTAAAAAATATAAAAAAGATTTTAGTTGTAAATCAACATAAGGGATTGGTCATTTAAGAAGACATGATGAAAAAATGAAGCTGTATCTATTACTTCTAATGATCTCACACAAACTACAATTAGTCAGCATCATAATGGGTCTTAGCTTCATTTCATTTTTCACAAGATAATTGACGTAATCAATTAGCTAAATTTATAATGCGGTCTGAGCAATCATTTATTTTTGTAGATGATGAATGTTTTAATTAGAAATGATATCTACCCAATTATAAAACAGTTTCAAGAAATACTATTAGAACAAATGCTTTTAAAATATTTTTTTCTTATAAAGAAAATTTAATATCTAGTTTATCAAAAATTTCTCCTAGAATTTCACTTACTTCTGATATATAGACCAGTTGACAGAACCTTAGTTATATATGTATTACTGAGCATTCGATAGATGATGATTGGAATATACAAAAATGAGTTTTGCTTTTTAAACACATTGAACATAGACATACTGGATCAATGATTACAAATGAAATTTTTAAGTTGTCAAAGAATATCATATTGAAAACAAAAATTTTTCAATTTCATTTGATAATGCTAATAACAATGCCATAGCAATTGAACTTTTAAAATCTACTTTAAAATCAATTTTCAATGGTAAACTATTTCACATTAGATGTGCATGTCATATTTTAAATTTATGTGTTCAAGAAGGTTTAAATCATATTTACGATTATATTTCAAAAATTCAAGATTATGTTCAACTTTTACATTCTAGTGCCAGATTTCAAGATTTTAAAAAATTGTGTTTGACAAATAAGAAGAAAGTTAGAAAAATGAAATAGAATGTTCCACATAGGTGGAATTCTACTTATTAAATGTGGCATGTTACAATAGAATATAAAGATATTCTTACTATGTTTACAATGAAAGAATGCTTGAATCAAGTCATATAACTCTTGCCAAATGCGATCTAAATGTTTTAATTTGTAAATTTTTAGAAACATTTTATGAAGCTACTCAAAGTTTTTTAGGTATTTACTATCCAACTTTATGCCTTTTTCTTAATAGACTTTGGGAAATTAGTGCATGTTTTCCATAATTTAGAAAGCATGAATGTTTCAACTTATTTTGTGTTGGTATGGAATTTAAATTACAAAAATATTGACAAAATCTTCCATTTGTAATTTGTATGGTTGCAATTGTGGATCCTAGAAAGAAATTATCTGGTGTAGAATTATTTATAGACTTATATTATAAAAATATGCAAAATTTGATTGACATTGATAGTGTTAAAAAATCCATTCATGAAACTTTGTGTTCTATGTATACATTATATGATTCCTTATATGGTAGTGGTAAAAAACAAATTCAAAATTAACCTTCCATTAGTAATAAAAACAAAAAAGCTTTTTCATGGAGTTTTCTAAAACAAAATCTACCAAATCAATGTAGTAGTAATATTTTAACTTCTACTTCTGATATTAGTTCTTATTTTGAACTCCAATTTTATTTGCAAAATAAAGTTTTATCATTTACACATGATGAATTAGAGACTTCTGATATTTTGGTTTGGTGGAAAAACAACCAAAATACATGGCTAATACTTTTCGCCATGGCACGTGATTTACTAACCCCACCCATGTCCACAATTGCCTCATAATCATGTTTTAGTACAAATGATAGAGTTATTGATGAAAGAAGGACCAAAATGAGAGCAAATATAATTGAAATGTGCATATTACTTAAGGATTGGTTAGATGAAAAAGTTCGAACACAAGATATAATACATTGTATAAGTGAATCATCAAATGATGAGAATAAAAAATAGAATAATAATTTTATGTTTTATATTTTTTTTTATGTGTGTGTTTTTTTAAATATTAGGATTGTAATTTTAATATCTTTATTTACTAGATTTTATTATCCATCTCCATGGATATGGGCATTTGCCAGATCATGTAAATTATGTGTCATTTTTAATTTCATTCTGTGTTTATTTATTTATTATATGTTATTTTTAATAATAATAGTTTATTTTTTAAAAATTAATTAAAATCTTGAAAAATATTAATTGATTGTACTTGGCTCAACTTGGTATGAAAAATAGTACCATGTCTAGCATAGTACGACCCATGAAGATTATGGATCATGTGTCGTGCTAGGTAATACCCTTAAATTTCATGGGCCGTACCAACACTACATGTTAAAAAATAGTATTGGATCAATACGATTCATTAATATATGGACTAATATTTAAATAGATTGTTTCTGCCTTGCACGATTCATTTGACACCTTTAAACATGGATTAATAATTTATTTTTTATACATTATTATATTAAATTTGGTTTTAATTGACATTTTTTTTTTTTTTTTTTTTTTCAGTTTAGGCTTTTTTATTAAAAACAAAAAGTAAAAATATAAACTAAACTATCCTTAGCGATTGTTTAACTTATTTTTATTTGGATTTATTTATTTATCTACTATAATATAGTAAATAAAGAGTTGAATTGAAGATTGATGATCTCAATATTATTTTTTTACATGCTTAAAAGTAATTGATAATTATTTAATTTGATATTGATTGTTATTGATAAATTATTTTTATTGGTCTCTATTTTAGTAATGTTTACATTTTGTTGATTCTTATCTTGAATCCATATCAGTATAATAGAAAAGAAATAAAGGAAAAATATCTAATGTTAAAATACATATGGACATATGTTATTTCCTAACTTAATCTTTAAATTAAGAGTAAATTACACTTGTATTCTCAAAATTTAAGTGCTTATCATTTTAATTATTAAACTTTAAAATATAACTTGTTGGTATTTAAATTTTTGAATTACTAATATATTGTTCTTTTGTCAAATTTTTTCGTTAATTTTGAGGTCAAGTGCAGTAAGGTAATTGGCTAAAAACAAAGTGCCAGTAACGTGACATGTGTCATATACTATTTATGATACGTACAAAATTGCTGTGTTAGAACTTATAAGTTTAATTTTAATTTTTTTAAAACCTATTTGCTATTTAAGAAAAATATATATTTTTACTAATAAATGATAATAGATTTTAATATTATAAACTAAATTAATTAATTTTATTTAAAAATAATTATTATTTATAAAAATAAAATTATTAAATTTAATTTAAATTTTAATATTTTATAAAATATATCTGAAAGATAAAAAATCTAAATATTTTTATTTGTTATTTTTAATTATTTTCTTTTATTTTTCTTTTCCTTTTTTCTTTTATTTTTTTTTTCCTTCTCCTGTCACTCCATCCCTGTTGACTAAGGGCCAACTAGCATCGATAAAGGTCAAATCTGGTCTAGCCGACGCCACAACTGCTAACTGGAGCTAGATTGCTCCATGATTTGGCGAAGGGAAGGTTATCATGACGTTAAATAGGCTAGATCCGACTCTTCTTTGCCAATTAACCATCGGTCAATTGCTAGGGGAGTTGGCGGGAAAAAATTTTAAAAAAATCATTTAAATTTTTTTAACAAATCAATTGACACATGTCACTCACGCTTCAAACACATAATCAGTAAAAATTCTTTGCTTACGCTTAGCTTCAAAGTCGATAAAAAAATTTGAGGAAAGATTTGATACATATACATTTAGAATCAATAAGTTTTAATTCAAAAATTTTACAAACAATAAATTATTTTTGAAGTTAGGACCAAAATATATGCATCTCAAAATTTAATGATCACGAAAACAATTTATTTATTACGTATTTTAAAATTTATTTATCATAGAACTTAATTTACTATAAGTTAAAAATTTTTGCTTTCCATCTTAGCAAAAGAAAACAGGACATCATGCCTAACCAATTTATTGACTTCCACTCAACCCCATAATTTTTCTACCCAAAAAAAAAAAAAAAAATCAAAAGTCAAGTCCTCTCCAACATTTTTTTTTTACATATAAGAAAAATAAAAATAAAAATAAAAGAAAAAGACTATGCTGTTGTACCTGCACCTTTATAAAGAAGCGACCACTTTGGTTTTTTCTTTTTTTTAAAGGCAACCGCTTTTTTTTTTTTTTTTTTTGGGAGAAAAAAAAATTCAAACTCAGCTCTTTAATTACAAAAATACATGCAGCAGTATAACCAAAAAATCGAATGAACTTTTTTTCTTATATTGAAATAGCTGTCATTTATTTTCATTTTTTTTTTTTTTGTATTCAAGAAACCCAAGTCTAACAACCTGTTTATGGAGAGTCAAATGATATAATTGATGCATATCACAAGAAAACTGAAGACCCATGAAGCAACGAGTAGGAGAAAAAAACATGGAGGACAAAGTAAAATTTTTCCTTCATTTGAAGTCCACGTTACAAATCATTTTGCATGTAAAAGCCTAAAATTATTGCAATTTCTGCAATATATATCTCTATTATATATGTGTAATTACATAGAAAATCAATTCCATTATGATTGGCGACATAGTAAGAAATTTTACATGGCCATTGCACAATTAGGCTCCAACAATAGTGGTGATTGAAGAATTGCCATGTGTGTGTCTAACAAGCTACATCTCAATCTCAACCCGTAAGACAACCATAGAGGATGGAAGGGACGACCACCCAACACATAAGAAGAAAGATCATCAAACTGTATGCAGCTGGTCATACAAATATCAATTCCAAGGGATCAATATATCATACTACAATATTACTTCTATTACATTATATTTTATTATTATTATATTAAAACAGGGAGCTGGTCTAACTGTTGCCCAAACTTCTCTCACCTCGTCGCTGGTTATCGTGTGCTCCGGAGAGTGAGCTCAGGATGCTAGCACTTGTCCCCGAGATTGCATCCAATATGTTCTCACCAACCTCACTCTTGCAAAGAGGACAGGAAGCATTGATCTTAAGCCACTTGTCCACACATTCCTTGTGCATAAAATGAGAACATGGCAACTCTCTCAACTCGTCATTATTTGCATATTTTGCCAAACAAATGCAGCAGACCTATAAAAAAATCCCAACAGTTGCCATTGTATCAGTATGTACAGGAAGAAAAAAACATTAAGACAAAGAAATCAGCAACTTCAAAGGCCTCATTCATCATTCGCAAGTAAATTTAGCAGTGCAGAATACCATCACAACTTTAATTGAGCCTTTACAGTAACAAAAGAATCAAACAGATAGCATGGTCCTATTGGTCATCCAGAACTCCCAAATTATGATGCCAATTAGTTTCAGAACCCAAATAATGTTAGTGGGTTCAAAATAGTCGAATACCCAAGGAACAAAAGTGTAACATAAGGAAAAAAAACCGAGCATATTAACTGTAAAATTCACAAGTGCACACATAAACATAATGTCAATGACACCTTGAATTATGAATTTCAACTCAAAATATGCAAAAAGAAATTTGTGCTTTTTATTAACTGGACTATGAGACATTTCACAGAATTATCTAAACAATAATCAAAAGAAACACTCACTGCATCTTCTCCAGAGATGACGCGTTCCTTTTCCGTTCCAACAGCCACTACCCCACCCTCACCAGCACCTGAGTTGATTTCCCTACCATCACCATTTCTGCTTTTCTTCACCTTGAACTTGTATGTTGGTAAAGCATCTATTGATTCAGGTGTGGCCCCTCTGGCATGTGATAGATCCTCTCTAAATCCAAGGACAGAAATAATGCAAGGCAGGCAACAGCAGATTGTAGCACATAGAATGAAGGGCATTGCATATCCAATACAGCTTAATGTAAGAAAAACTATACATAACCTGCAAACCAAAAAGATACAAAAAGGTATGAACTCTCAGAAAAGGTACAAATCAAAATTAGTAAATGCAGAACATGCCACTAGGCAGGGGCCAGCACCTGTACAAGTGAGGAGCCTCACTAGCAGATGTGTGCCCACCAAAGATCCAAACGTTGCCAACCACAAACCAAACCGCAAAGAAGCAATCTAAAGCCATTTTGAAGTATTCCACTAGTGCTTTAATTCTGCAGGATAAAACTCAGCTGATTGTCCACTAAAGGCTAAGGACCATTATAAATATCAATGAAGTAAATACTCTTTGTCAAATTTCAGTAGCATATGGGAGGTTGAAACAGAACGCAGAAATGTCTATTACTCTCCGCTCTTCTTTTCTTTTTTTCTCATTTCAAAATAAAATAAGAAAACAGTACCTTGCACTTGTTACTCCCACATTTTGACCACCTCGAGGAGAAGTAGTTGCAGTATGATGATCACCCCCATCAGAAGTCCTTGTAACAGAGAGAGAAAAGGGTCCGGCAGGGACATTAATGTGTGAAGTGTGACGATGTTGACCTGAGTCTTGCTCAGAAGCCTGGTTACGATGATGATAACGCCAATAAAGAAGAGGGAGAGTTGCTACACATCCAGATGCATAACCCACAATCCACGCAAACAACGGTGTATGGGGACGCTCATTTCTTGACAAAGCCAGGACAACAATAGATGCTATAATCTGGCTCACTGTAAGAACTAGTTCAACAGAAATCCACAATCCAGAATTTAGTGGACTCCTCCGGTGACGGGCATCCCCTCTCCTTGCAGATGAGGAGGTTCTTGAATTTGTACCATTGAAAGAAAACGTTGAAGGTTGAGAAACTAGCACTCTTGTACTACTAGAAGGTCTTTCTTCATGCTGCAAAACATCCAACCCATTCGAAGTTGTATCATGAGACAAGTTTGATGAGGAAGTATCACCGCTTCTTGGTATGTCAATAATATGTTCACTGAAGTTCTCAGATTGCTCCATTAACAATGGAAAAGTGTCAGTTTGATTTTCGGAATGCAGTTCCGAGGAGGGAACATCCATCTAAGTTCACCCACACAACTGGAAATGATGAAAGCATAGGAACCTAAAACAAGGTTACCAGCTTTATTTATCACTTCTTCACAGTGCCGAAACAATGGGCACTTTTGTCACTGGGATTTGTCAAGTTCTGATGAACGACTTAAATTATTTGGCACCACAAGATGTGGATAAATTAACAATTCCTGTTCCGTTGAGAATGAAAATGCAACTACATCAAAATAAGAAAATCAACATTTTCTCCTCCTTCAGGACATGAATAAATCAAACCGAAAAGGTAAAAGGCATATTGAGCCCATTGATTTTTATTATAACAACCCACAAAAACATAAAACTAAATCCCCACCAAGTGAACTAATTAAAGGACTTGGCTTCATTTAGCTTTCAAAACCCAATTAATAAATAAAAAAGAAACATGAATAACTAAAGTATACTATTGGAAATAAATGGACAACAACAAGTAGCATCACAAATTACAGATTATCATTCAAACAATAAATTTAAGACAGAAAAAAAATTATGTGGTAGCAGAATAAAACCGAAATAATCAAGAATGTTTAGAAGCATTATCGCTAATATCCAGAATCTTTTACACTCTCATATTGTATGTGTATACCTCAAACTGCACACCAGCGCAATAACATTAAATCTGAATTTGCCTTAAATCACCACATCTCCTTTCTTTTTGATTTATTAAAGAATTCAACACTCCCCAGTCCCCTCAACCAAGCAAAGGCCAATGACACTTTCTTAAGCCAAATATGAAATCTAAGGGTTGAATTCCGGCATAAAAAATACATATCTGCTGCTATTTTGAAATTTCAGCTTAAAAAACTGCGGATAAGTGAAATTCAAATCAAGTTCTTCAAAAATCTTAACCAACATAACATCAATAGCAGCTTCACTCTTGGGAGAAAAGGAAATTAATTTTGTTTCAAGAACTAAATTTTTTAGCATAGTGAACAGCCTTCCTTCGCCTACCTTAATCCCAAACCCCCCCCCCCCCCAAAAAAAAAAAGAGGAAACATGAGTGACTATTAGTGTTCCTTTAGCTGAATACATATTATTTCCTTTTCTTGATTTCTTCTTCAATAAAATCCCAAACGGGAAAAACCCATTTTGAAAACTAGCCTAAAAAAAATTGAAATCAAAGTCAAGATCAACCCTCTTAAGATCGAATCAGTATCAAGCCCCTTATACATAACTAATTAATTCCTCTATCAACACAAAACTCCATTCCTCCTGAGCCGCAAAAGGCGGAAGCGTTGACTACTATTTAAAAACGATCGAACCCACTAAAAACTGGGAAATAAAAAGCCACCAATTCTCACTCAATGAACTTCCCAAAAATATAAAATTTAATCCTAAAAAAAAAAAAAAAACCCCAAAATAAAATTTGACGTTCACGAATCAACAAAAAAGGTGAACACACATGAGAGAGAGAGAGAGAGAGGACCTTGCCAGAAAGGATGGAACTGGGAAGGACCGATAACAGACTATCAGAGCTGACCAGTGACCGGAGAGGCAGAAACCGGAGACGTTGAGCGAGTCAAAAAGCTGCAGATTTTTGTGCTTTGGAAAGGTTTGTTGAGTGAGACCGCGAGGGGTGTGTTTGTTGGGTATTTCCTTATTGGCAGATAATAATATTAATAACACATAAAGTGCAAGGATTGGACCTCCTTCGTTTGCTTGGGCGGGTTGCCCAGGAATAATAATACCACTCCTTTACTCTTTTTTTTTTTTTCTTGCTTTGAAATTTCAAACACTTTGGTTGCCTTTTCAACTCTTTTGGATTTCTCTCCCGTCTGGTTGCCGGCTGCTGCCTACTGGATTATCTCCAATTTGCCACGTAAGTTTGTTCAGGGTTTTACAGGATTACCCATTTACCCTCAGGGGCCCTCACCGGTCGTCACAACGGGTCTCTTTTGGAAATGCGACACATATTGGGACAACCATGCTGTCTTGCCCCGTAAGTAAAACTTTGTTTTAAATATAAAAGTTTTATGAAATAAATTAAATATTTTGTAATTAATTGATGTTTTAAATATTTATTTTTGTTAATTAAATAATTATATAATTTGCGTTGAATAAATAAAATGTAAAAGAATTAAAATAAAATAAATCTAATAAAAAGTATCAATTATTCTTACAATGGATAATATCTTAAATAACTCTTGAATTATAGTAATTTTTTAGATTTGATCCTTAAATTAAAAAAATTGATAAATAAGTACCTGAATTATGAAATCATATATCAATTTGGTTTAAGAGTTAACTCCATTAATCTTAATGCTGACGTGGATTTTTAGCTAATAACAATGCGTCATGTGAATACAAAATGGCATATAAGCATGCTTATGCGGCCAAAAAATTTGAAAAAAAAAAACATGAAACATTTTAATTCCCCTAAACCTAAGCAAATCACCAAAACCCTAAACACGAAGAATTTAGAAGAAATTGAAACAAAATTGAAGCTTATGAAATGTCTAGCAGGAAGCTTGATAAAAATTGCAACATTCATGAAATCAACAGCATATAAAGAAAACAAGATGGGTGAAAGAAGATATAGAGATTCTATTGAAGATTCATCGAAGAAAATTGGACATTTTGGGCAATTACGATCAAGTTGTAACTTGAGAACAAGAAATCATTTGACTTTAATCAATTGTTATTATAAAGTAATGGCTCTAATTCGTAGGTTAACAACATTGAAAAATCCAGGAAGAAATTTTGATGGGTGTGGAAAGTTTAAACAAGTATTCTTCACATTTATTGATTTATACAGAGCTGATTTTACATTGATGGATAAAATTGAATTTGTTTTTGTTAACATTTTGCAAGGTGTGAATTGTGATTTTTTTCAATGGGTTGAAGATGAGCATTAGTTGGATAGTAACAATGCAAACTAAAATGAGGAATTCAAATTTGAAAATGACAATTTGCTAGTTGAGAACAAAGAGTTGAGGAAAAAAAATATTGCATTAAAGGAAAATTGCAATAATAATGAAGTTAAAGCTTTTAAATGAGGTTTGGGTTCTTAAAATAAAAAAAAAATCATACAAGGATTTGGCAGCAAATGGTCAATGACTAATATGGTATTACAATATTGTGTTGCTATTATCTTGGATGGTGTTTTTCATTTTCATTTTAGGGTTTATTTTATTATAGATTGAAAATTTTGAAGAATTAGTGGAATATATCTTGTTCTAAATTATTGTAAGAATTAAATAAGGAAATGAAAGCAATTACTACTATATGTCCTAATTTAGATCCTTGTTATATGCTACCAAAATTTAGTGGTTTTGATTTTTTGAATGTAAAAAATCTTATGATTGTTTTTTCTTTTTGTTTTTAGCCATTTGCTTAAATCTTTTTACCATCTCATTGCAAGTTAGTTTAGCTTCTAATTGTTTGTAAATTGTTTCCACATTGGCTATAATGTTTGTACTACCTGCTAAAGTATACTATTTTATCATTATCTTTAATCTTTTCCATTTCTCATAATTGAATGTTGTCTGTAACTATTATAAATGGTTTATATTGCTGCCATAAACAAGATAAAACCAATTGATCATTACACAAATATGATTGAAACCAATTCATTCATTTAGATCCATCATCATTACACAAACATGATGAAACCAATACATCAATGATCCATCATAAAACAAGTCCATCAATTCTTTACTTATTACAAACAAAGAAATGGATGATGATTATCCAAAAATAGCATAAACAATATCCATAATTGATCCATAGAAAGATGAAACAAGATGAAATAAGAGGAAACCATAAAGAAGATGAAACTTTTTCATTCATCATTGACTAAAATCAATTCATACAACATCCAACAGTGTACCTTTATACACTACTCATTACACAAATGAATTTAGATCATGAATATTCAAAAATGATTAGCTACAACATTCATTTCTATTCCTGAAAAGTATCATGTTCATAAACATTCATATAAGCTACAACACAAATACATTCATTGTATTCATAAACAAAAAGCACAAAAAAGTTACAAAAAGGTATTATGTTCAAAAACAACATTCATATCAATTCTTGGACTTAGTGCTCTTTGACTTTTTTCTTCCGACATGGTTTTTGTATACTTTGTATCTCATTTAGAAGAGTTTAAGTGCTGGTGAAATTTGTCTCTTTCTCTTGACCCCCAACAACTCATCTATTAAATCTTGTATTGAAACCATTAAAGCATTAAAACAAAATGCATCAAAGTCATATCTAGTAACACATCATATAAATAGGTTACCTTGACCAAAATAGATTCTTCATCTTCATGTTCATTTCCAATAACAACATCTAAATGGCCATCAATCTCTTTATTCAAAGAACTATCTATAGCTGCTATTGATGTTGATGCACGATTAGCATTTTTTGGAACAAAGATCAATATCTAACCTTTTAATCCAGGCTATTTGATAAATTTTACTTTATTAACATATATACATAAATCCTAGGAGTGATAACAATTTGGTTTAGATCGGATTTGATTCAATTTTTTTTAATATTATATAATATTATAAAAATTTAAAATTCAATCTGAATCCGAATTGAACATGCATTCAATTCAAATTGAACTAAATCGAATTTTATTGGTTCAGTTTATTAGTTTTTAATTTTTTAATATTTATATATTATTGTGATATAAAATTTTAACATATCTAAGTAGATTTGATATAAAATTATTATTTTCATTTTATAAAAATTTAAAAATATATAAAAACTAAGAAAATATATAATTCGGTTCAATTTGATTTTTTTATTTTTCATCTTTCGATCCGAATTTAATATATATATTTAATATCCAAATTTGATCCAAACCGAATAAGAAAAAAATCAATCGAACACTATGGTTTCGAATCAATTTTCGAATTTCTCAATTTTTTTCACTCATAATAAATCCTAACAATCTAACAACAAAAAAAAAATTACACAACAAAAGAACCTTACATTTAATATGTACAGTTCTATTTTCTTGTTAACATATATGCCAATTCCTTGCATGATTTTTCTTTCCCTAATCCCAAGTGATAGAAGTTTTTTCTAAATTTTTATTTTTCTTTTTGGACAAGTAACTCTATGCGTGTTTTGGCTTTTGGTACTACATTGGTTGCTATAGTTTATCTTGATGGTGTGTTCGCTGTAGTCTGTGTGGATGTTATGGGAGTTATAGTCTGTATGGGTGGTGTGGCTACTGCTCTAGTTATTGTGGGTGGCTTGGCTATTGTTGTGGTAATTGTGGGTGGCTTGGCTATTGTTTTGGTAATTATGGATGGCTTAGCTGCTATTATATTGATCATTGTGGGTGGCTTGGCTACTGCTGTAGTCAGTCTAGGTGGTATGGCTACGCTGTGGTCACTCTGGGTGATGTGGTTGTTGCTTTAGCTCCGATCATTTTGGGTTGTGTGACTGATGCTACTGCTCTACTCACTCAGCATGGTGTGGTTGTTGCTTTGGTTACTCTGAGTGGTATAGCTACTGTTCTAGCTCTGGTCACTTTAGGTGGTGTAATTACTACTACTGCTCTGCCTCTAAATAATGTAGTTGCTACTATGGTCATTCTAAGTGGTATGGCTATTGTTGCAGATGCTATAGGTGGAATGGCTTTTTTGGGCACTCTAAGTGGTGTAGTTGCTACTCTAGCATGGTGTTATGATCTTTCAGGTTCATGAGGCATAGTTGTATTCATGTTTTCAGCTTGTCCTGTGTTACTACCTTATAATGCCTAAAAAACGTAACATTAGGTTTTAATAAATTTGTAAATTAAACTTCAGATTGTAAGTTAAATTTTTTTTGGGGACATTTCCTTAAATTATGATCAAACTTGAAATAGATCCAATAACTTAGCTTCTTTCCTTTTTTTGATAACTTTATCCCATTTAAGCTTTCACCCTTCTTTATGTTTTTGTTTTTTTTTTTTTTTTGTCTACCAGGCAACTTTTTAAAAAAGTGATGGATCTATATCTCCCATAGCTAGAACTTGTCTCCAAAATAAGTGGTAGCATACAACTATAGCGTTTCTTATACATTTTTTTTATGTACATGTGCAACATATTGTTCAATTTTTTTATTCTTAAAAATTATAACATATATGGCATAAAGACATGGTATCTTAGTCAAATTTCATGACCTACATGTGCATTTCCTCCCACCTATATCTTTTACAAACATATTCTTAAGACTTTTAACCTTATATCCATCATTACCATTCTATACAACATGACAAAAAGCACTAAGTTCCTTATGCTCTTCTATTTTCTCACAAATATTAGGACAAAACAACTTAATCCACTTAGCACATCTAGTCATATTGTCAACAATTCTTTGCATCACATAATGCCTAATTCTCTCAAACATTAAAATGATGGACATATGCCTAGCATGAATAATCCTAACATTAAATGCCTCAGTTAAATTGTTTTGCACAACATCAAACAAACATCTAGTACTGAAAAATACCTTTAACCAATGCCTAGAACTTTTTTTTAAGGTATCAATTAATGTTGTACCTTTCAATTCTCTAAGCTCATTTACTCTTGTTTTTAAGTCAACCTCTATTGTAACTTTACTATACATCCAAAATTGCTTGTGAAGGTCATTGCCTTTATGGGTTTTTTTTTTTTAATTTGCAAACCAATGCTTTACTCAGAATTTATGTTCAACTTTAGGAACAACAGAACTTATGACATCACATAAACCTTACAATAATAAATGAAAAAAATTTAACATTCAAAAGTAACAAACCCTAAACCTTCAAAAGATAAAATTGTATAATTATCGTATATACCTTTTACATGTCACTCATAATTGTGAATCTAACACCATCTTATATTTGAAGATCACTTTTCAAGTTATCTAGAAACCATCCCCATGTATGCTTATTCTACACCTTTATAAATGCCTTAACAATAGGATACATTTGATTATTGGTATTTCCACTAATAAGAACAAAAAAATCAGCTTTTAAAGATCTCTTTAAAAAATATCCATCTACATACAACAAAGGCCTACAGTATTTCTAAAACCCTTCCTTAAGTGTACTAAAACAAACATACAACCTTAAAAACCTTGGTTTATGCTTTGGTGTAAGCCTTTTAACAACCAGGTCTACATGTCTATTTAGATCTGCCTTTCTCAAAGCAGCAACATAATCAAACAATTCTAAAAACCTATAATGATATCTGTCAGTAATTTTTTCTTAAATTCTTATCCTAGAACTTTTACAAACTCCTACTTTAACTTTAGCATTTAACTCATCTTTGGTCAACCTTTTCATCTTAACCGACTTGAAGTCAAGAATAATCTTAAACTTGGCAAAAAAATGATCAGCTAAAACCTTATAATTTACCCTTGAGTTTTTAAAGGTAATAGTACACTGATGCTTATATATCAATGTCTTCACCTTAAATAACCCATCATAGTTGTCTATCGTAACATAAATAAAGAATAGACAGTTTTCATGTTTACAAACGACCTTGACCCTATATTTCTTATTGCTAAGATATCTATAATCAAACCATTTTATAATTGCATGTTTGGTCAATGCATCATTGAATAGCCTTAGACCATAAAAAATCATGCTAATCTCAAACCTAGGAACTAGATCTAAAAGGTCAAAGTATTTCTTCCTACTTTTCTTACATACAACCTTTATATCTTTACAACTCTTATAACTACCTATGTCTGAAAAGTTTGTATAATCAATATCATCCTCTTGATTTGTCCCAACCCCTATATTCTCACCTACATCTTTATACTTTGCTTTCTTGTTTTTTCTCTTGATCTCTTACAGAAAACCTCCAAAATTTACTTCTGGTGGGATCTCATTACTCTTCACTATCCTACGTTTCCTTTTTTCTCTGAACTTAATCTAACATGTTCTAATATTATGTATTTCCTCATCATCAATATTCGAGCCCTATTCATATTCTCTAAATTTTTTATCACAATTTGAATTTTGACTCTCATTTACACCTTTATATAAACCCTCAAGTGTACGTGCATCCAACACAATCCAATGTACAAATGCATCTCCCAAATTATTATCATTATCAACCCACCCAACTACATTATAACCATCTACCCTATTAATGTTAACGGTCCATTTACTATTAATGTCCCTATTAGTTTCATCTTTCACATTACATGCATTCCATTCACTATCTTTCCTAACCTCCTCATTATGCTTTTGACTTGACAATAATGGTACATCATCTACAAACTCAGGTATATCAACCTCATGTTTCACATATACATGTATCTATCCCGTTGCCCTCACATGATCTATCATCATACCAAAAGATGCATTATCATAGTATAATATTAATCCATCCTCAATACTAAACCCTAGTGACAAGTAATAAAACATAGTAGTAGTACCATACCTAGCCTCTTTAACAATATTACACAATACAATGAATGAAATCACATCAGGATCTACACTCTATACATTTACATGCCTACCCACATAGCTTACTTTCATATTTGCTACAAATTTTCCACCCAAATGCATGTGTAAATGAAGCATCATAAAAGCCATTATTTTAGCTGCATTAAAAACAATAAAAATATAATAAGCAAAACCTTTAATAGTATAATAAATACAATAATGTAGACAAACTAGGATCACATCGTAAAATCCAAACACATAGTGCAACACGCATGCAAAGATTGACCAAAAAGAAGTGATATGTCCAAATAAAAAGGTATACAAAAGTGAAGTGATGTGCTCACATAAACTTCTATTGAATAAAAAAAGCATTTGAATTTAAAAAAAAAAAAAGTAACAATTTTCATCACTACTATAACCTTAAACTAGCAAATAAAAAATCACCATACCATAAAAATTTTTGTAACCTCCAATCGTTCTCACTTTGCTCCACAAAATCGAATCCAAATACTCCACAAATCTCCTCATACCAGTCGAATCTTCTCATGCTAGTCGATGCCCCTGACTTGTCTTGTTCCAACAAAAAAACCCAGTACTTCAATCAGATAGTGTAATTGAATCTAGTCTAAAACTTTTCAATTTAACGCCTTTTTCATCACTTTCTTGTTTGATTCTCATAAGAACAATTCAAATTTTCGTATGAACAAAAAAATGATTTGAGGGGTCAAATTGGGGGTTTTTTTACAATTTTGAGTTTTGGCTTTCTTTTTATCGATTTAGAGTTAAAATTTTCTGGCCACATCACCCACATAAACCACATAAACTACATAAACATGCTTACATGTCATTTTGTGTCCACATGGTGCATTGTTATTGGCTAAATATCCACGTTAGCATCAAGACTAATGAAATTAACTTTTGGACTAAATTGATGCACGATTTCATAGTTTAGATACTTATTTAACAATTTTCTTAATTTAGGTACTAAATCCAACAAACCATTATAGTTCAAGGACCATTTAGGATATTATCCCTTCCTAGAAAGCAATCTATGCTCAAAGGAGACAGTCGAACTGCCCAACAAGATTTTACATTCTTTTTTAAGGTTTTGTCTAAGGCAGCCAATGTTAACACACTTTCTTGCAAATTTTTATTTTATATAAGAAATTGCGGAAATTGCTTAGAGTAATCAAATGTTGGATATTCGAATACTTTTTGAAAAACAAGAAGTATCTTCGTTGTAAATGATGATTCATTGTGAAAGTGACAATTGTTCATAAAAAAAAATTAATTAAAAAAAACGATGTTTCAATCCCTGCTTAAACTTATAAATACTTATATTAACATTCATATAATACAATTTTAAATTTAAATTTATCAAAAATTAAATTGCTTTTCTTCGTTTCCATTTTCTGATTTTAATTCATGTGAGTTTAAGAATTTGAAGTGTAATCTGAATTTTCTTTAATTTTAAATGCTATATTCTAGGAATAACATTTTAAAATGTACATTTGCATTATAATGAAAATTTATTAGTATAACAATCTCAAATAAATATTTTTCAAAAAATGCTTTACCTAAAGATTTATTTTTTATTTTTTATCATTGCATTGTTGCCATGATATACCGCACATACAACGTCTAATACCTAAAGTACTACTTCAATACAAACTTCACTAATCAAAGGTTTTTTTTTTTTTTTCTTCGCAAAGCTAACATTTTTTCTTGGTGAGTGGCAAAGAGAAGGGGGACTAGTGGCTTAAGTTTTAGACATTGATGCTCCTGAGAAAATCCTTTGTCTTGATGTTCTTGGTTTTATTATATTTATAGAGATTTGATGTTAAAAACAAATTTAAGGTTCAGTCCATCGATTTAAGATTCCTTTTCTATTCTTAACATATTATTGAGAGGTTAGCATCTCTTTACAACTCTTCAATAGAGTTTCCAATGTAATATCTTTGAAAAAAAATTTTAATTAGATTACAAAGAGTCGTCTTCAAATTAAGTACAACTTCAATTGCCAACTTGCAAACTAGCAAATGAAAATTCTAGTGGTGGAAAGGAAGTTCTGAAAAGATTATTATTCTGCCTGTAGAAAAACTAAAATCGAGAGTCTAAAATGTGACACTAGCAAATTACAAGGTTACAGTGAAGTTGGTCTGGAAGCACCAGAAACAGACAGACAACATGTTACAACAATTGAAGCGACAATTTAAAAGAAAAAAAAAATAATAAGAAAGATTAGAATAACTGAAAGTTGTAAAACCTTTGAAGATTGGAATCAGATTTGATCATTCTCCAAGCAGGGGAATGGTTATGGTTTTAGAAAATAAATCATCTTTCCTTCATCTTGAGAAGACTGATACAACTCCTTCTGGGGAAGTCATTGTTGCCACGCATTTGAACTGCCATGGTAACAGAGGAAAAAAATTCAATTTTATTAGAAATTTGTCTATTTGAAACATAAATCCAGTTGCGTTCTTTTGAGTAGGAAAAAAACATGTCTACCATTAAATAAGATACTCAGATTTAATACCATGTTAGTATGATCAGGAAATATAGAAGTATGATAAAATTTCGAGTTGGAAGCTATCGACCCTTTGCTAGTGATTTTCAGCAAAAGGATAAAGGAACTCATACATGCTTTATGAAAACTCAAAGACATGTAGCTGTCAGACTCGGACAGGCCCTGATATTTTCTCCTAATGTCTGAATCTATATTTTGGTGTCAAAGGAATGTTATTAGTTAAGATCTTTTAAAATGCTTTTATTTTTATATCAATCTATAAATTTTACCTTCGGTTGTTTGTACTTCTCACGTATAGCATTGAGGGAGCAACCATTAGTGTTGAGCTGCAAATCTTCCATTGCAAGTACAGTAGTTTTCAGCTCTGACGCCTTGTAACTAGTATAATGCTCCAGGGTTGGATTCTGCTAAAAAGAACACATGGGAAATGTATCCTTCAGAAACTCTCTAATTATAAAAAGGAAAAGAAGAAAACCTAAATTAAGGGGCACTAGTATTACAGACCCATGGATGGTCTGACTGATTGAGAGTCCGTCTGGCAAGGAATACGGCAGATGCAGCTATGAGTGAAGGCAAGAACTTTAAGAAGTTGTAATCAAGAAGAGTCAGCTCTGCTAAATAATTTGCTAAGAACTCTAGTTCTATACAAGGAACCTGTACATCAAGTTAATTGAAGAGCAAATCAGTTTTTTTCTCATATTATATTGAATTTTATAGAAAAAATGTAGAAAGTGATTCCTAGATAAAATACCTTGTAAGTTGCTTGTGCTGCTTGAATGAATCTCCTGAAAAACAAAAACTAAGTTCAGATTAGTTACTTGACTATTTGATGGTATTCTAAACAGAGTTAGAAGATGGTCTCAATTACCTGAGAAATGTTTTTGTGGTTGGAACAGATAACTGAAAATACAAGAAATTCAGAACTTTGCTCTCCATTTTCAACACCTGTCAAGTAGAGTTAGAATCAGGAACCTTGTATAACAGCAAATGTAACAAATATTACTGCCTAAAAGGGGAAAATATTCATAATTTTAGCAAAATCCTTATAAGAATAACCCAGTCCAACTATAGACCAGAGTTGGCTTTGATTTTTAATTAAATGAATGAATGAAAGTGTCATTGAGACTAAGAAATGGGTTGAGAGTTAGACACAATTTACAGGGAGGCCTTATAGAGTGAAACTTACATGAGGAATTGACCTCATAAGTCGTTAGCTTTTACAAAGACAATTTTCTCTGGGAATACTCATTAATAGGTCTCACCTTGATATGAAAAACTTTAGCTAACTAACATTTCTATCCCTGTAACTGGAACACAGTGGAGAAAGGGGAATTCAAATTGTTTCTGATTCTACATTAGAAGCAAAGGATTTTCTTTGTGAATGAGAAGGTACATGTAGTTGCTGAAGAAACATAGAAACCTAAGCAAGTTGCTTAATTTTGCAGTAAGATTTTAACGTCAGAGTAATTGTTATTGCACGTTATGTCAGCTATATTGACCCAAAAAAAAAATTTGTCAGCTATGCAAAAGTTACTTTATAATTTGGCTTTATCTTAGGCGCTTTCTTTAGGAAGTCATAAGTCATTCTATCATTTCTTTCAGCTGAACTACAAAGCCCCTTTAGCAAAATTTTATCCATCATGCTACCCTCGATTTGAACCAAATCACTCTTGCAAAAGCCCAAAAGTTTCGAACTGTTGAGATGTTCAGAATATCAAAATGAGAAGTTGCAAGCAGCAGTAAAAAGGAAAGTATCAACTATTTTTCATTGTGCAGTGTAAGGACTAGAGTGCTGAAGGAGGTGTTAAGAGGCTTGATTAGATGGGAGTCGAGGAAAGCATAGAAGTCCAGAAAGTAAATAGACTCAGAAGCATAGAATGATGGCAAACCACAAGTCAATGACTGCTATGCATAAGCAGCTAAAAAATCATACCTCCCCTCTTGTGTAGGTATTATCAGTGATGAAGCAAAATTCTTCCACTCTTGGTGCACAAATCTCTTCATACTTTCTTCAAACCACAATAGAAAGCACTCATGAGAAACATTTCATATTTACCAGAAATGCAAAAAAAATAATAATAATGGTGGCTTCAAAATATAATTGAGAGAGAAAGGATTCCCTAATGTTGTTGACATCATCATGATCAACAGTTACTATTCTCAGAAGAGATGTACAAAACATAATTCTTAGTTCACAAGAACATCTACCGATAGGAATTGTGCTTATGATATTTGAATTTTAGTCAAATTTACGCCATTTTGTACTAGGAGCAGAAACAAACTAAAGAACTTACGAGGCAATTAGCATGCAAGCAACACCAAGTAGCTGGAGTCTTTGTTTTTCAATAAAATTGTGAGAAAGAAAACGATCAATGAGGCTCACTGTGAGGTAAAGTGTGTCTGGGACTAACTTATATTCTTCAGAAACCTGAAACCATATGAAAAACCATAAATAACAAGCACATCAAATAGAGCAAAATTTAGTTCATCCTAACAATAGAGTTTAAAAAAGTCAACTCTATACTATTAAGTACAAACAGAATATCCTTCTATTTAGAACCTCATGAAATTTTATTTTTTTTTGGGTGGGGGGGGGGGGGGGGTTCAAATAATAAACAGCAGATTTTGTCTCAGCTTATGAGGAAAAAGTTTATGTAAACAAGAAAAATAGAACTGTAATACAGCATTATGATCTCCTGCACTTGGGAGAAACTGCAGCCTTTTCAAAATCTTATCCTGCATTCAAGCAGTGGAGATGCAAGTAACTATTCAGGTTATAGAACTTTTCTACATTGACTCACCTCCACTAACCAGTCAATCAAAATTCCTCGCATGCTTGGGGTAATATCCTGCTGCAACTGTTCCATATAATTAGTTGAAGGCCTTTGGTTAAGCTGCAGAGGGTACAATCTCATGAAATAAGCATCAAATATGTTGCCGGTAGAACAAAACTTTGTAAGCTAAGAGACATTCCTTCATTGTAAAAACAGATATAACAGTGTTTTCCAAAAATGAAAAAGAAATAATAAATCCTTCAATACAAAAAAAAAAACCTGATATTGCTGGCAAGAGATTATTCATCTGATAATAGTGTGCTTACCATGTCATTTGATAATGTATATTTTAAAGATGGAAAGGCAAAAAAACATAGCAGCATCATCAAATTAAAATTTACTGAATGATAAGATAGCAAAGTATTCAGTGTGAAACTAGAGTGCTGTTGTTAAAAATTATGGGAATCATATTGGTATTAAGTTAATGCAAATAGCACCACCAACCTCAGTAACACGTATATTATTGTATATGTCTGGGGCATACAAGCCACACGCTTGAGGATCTTTTAGGTTTGAATCAATGTCCACAACACCTTTAGAGGCTCCTAGTTTCTCACAAACCCCATTTTCTTCTGCATTATACAATCAAAGTCAACATAAATTTACAAGCAGTATATTTAAAGGCTAACTGGCAATTTTCTTCCGGACACTTAGTCTTATTCTACACAGCCAGAGATCAATGACGTTATCAACTTTGCTAATACTAGTCTCATATTAGTCAATAAATTTAGCATTTGTCTGCCTTAAAAATGAAACCCATAAAATGCCCAATTTTCAGAGAAGATTCCAGGAACATGAAATGGACTTAATAGTAATGAACATTTTGGTTAGAAACCAGAATAGTATACCGTGAAGTATTTTATTACCTGTTAACCTTAAGAGCAGTGTTGACACCTTATCCTTCTAAAACAGAGGTATCTCATTTCTTAGACAGCCAAACTCAATGATTTTCAATAGAGGTGTGCCATTACCTGATGGTTTTAAAGAGAGTACGAACCTTTTTCTTGAGGGCTTTGGACTACAACAGCCATTATGGAAGCTGGTATTGGAGGCATTGCATCTGCTACAGCACATTCTCTTGCACAATGACTCAAAGGTTCTGCTAGTTCACTTTCTTCAAGTATTACTGGTAAAGTGTTTTCTTGTGCTTCCACCATCCTTATTTTTGACAAGTCTTCAGCTAACCTTGCTTTCACATCCTCTTCAACTGATGGGATTTCCATGGAGTTATCCTCAACCATTTCTTTGTTCTTCTGACTAGGGCCTGTATTAGTCTTCTTGATGGTCTGTCAACCAGCAATGTCAACAGAAACTCTTAGTTTAGACTATTTAGTAAGTAAAGGATATTTTGCTGCTAGGAAAACAAACAGAAGCAAAAGTCATTCCTGCATTTATGACCACTATCAGGAAGAACTTCATCTTATCTGTTGTTAATAATAATAAATTAACAATCATTAAGTTCCTAAATAAACGTTATTAGTATATATTATTTGCTGCACCAGAAATTTGCAGACTGAACTTCATCACAATAAAAAAAAGATGTCCTTACCTGAATTTCAGTTGCATTTATGCAGTCCATGTACAAACTGTCAGAAGAAGCATTCGTCACATCTTTAAGAACTGCCCTTCTTTTAGGCTGAAGGCCAACAGTGGCAGTCACAGAAGCCTTGTTCTCATCTGATGCTGCTCGTTTAGAGTTCATTCCAAGAACATGTTTTTGGTCCTGTTTGAACGATGGTCTTGAGGAGAAGCATATTCCTCCTGCTGCCGCCAAGGCTTTAGACCTTGCTCGTGTAATTCGTCCTATGGGCTCTTCAAAATTTTCAATAGGTTCATTTTCTTTATTCATACTTGCTAGCCTTTTGGAAGAGCGAGGCATGGTGTTTAAATTGAAAATTTTATCATTGAACCTGCATTTCTAACACCGAATCATTGTCACATAGTGAGAAGAACGAACACAATAAACTACAACTTTCTAGAAAAAAAAGAAAAAAAACTACCATTGCAATCTATCCTCAAACTGTATAAACTCTATTTCCTAAATTCTACTAAATTATGAAAAATTTATTGACCTAAGAAACTTTAACCTCATGCATATATTACCATTTTTTTTTGACACTATAATTTTTGTTTTTTACATATTACCCAGAGTATGAGATATAAGGCTTAGTGTGGTGTTGTTGTTGTATATATGAAGACCGATGGAGTCATGAGAGGTCGCGCTTTTCCATTTTCAAATATTGGGAACTGAGACCTTCAAAGTCCAAATCAAAGTTTCAAGTTCGAACTGTCAAAGTGTCTCGTAGGGAACTTTGATTTAAGCTATAACCTACAACATCTCTGCATTATTCAGCAGTAGCATTAATAAATTTATTACATCCTGATAGAAGAATGAATCATTCTTCAATTCAAAATCAGAAATGGCGGTGCCATTTCAAAACTAACGTTGTCTCGATATGTGATAAAAAATTCCCATAATTGATTTTTTTTTCTAAGGTATTATTTAAGTTATCCAAATAGAGGATTCTATATATTGTTAAGTTCTTCATTTTCTTTATGAAAAAAAGAAACAAAAACTCAAAAACCTAATTCCTAAACAATTTTACACATTTAAGCATTAATTTTGTTTAAAAAAATTCCTTCAAATCATATCCGAGCTAAAGCAAGCAAAACAAATAAATAAACAGAGAGAGCAAGACTCTATTATAATTGCTCAAAAAAAATACGGATTCGTGAGAAACACGTAATGTGCTTACAATTTTGACTAAATTTCAATGTTTAAAATAAAAAAGAAACTCAGCTTGATAAAGGTAACGAAAAAATGTGCAGAAATATTCAAAAAAAAAAAAAAGAAAAAGAAGCTCTGTTATAGATCTAAAATTTAAATTCTTGAACTCCATCGATCCGACAAACAGCATCAACCAAAAAAAATTCAAATGGAAATTCCTATAGCTACTGTTTAAACAAAAAAATTTTAAAGAGAGAGATGGAGGCGAGCTTACTGTTCTTTGGGGAGCTCCGAGACCGCAAATGAAGAGGTCTAGAGACAAATTTATTCTCTCCTTTTTAGGCTTTTTTTCCTTCTTTTTTTGTTTTCGATTCTCTTAGAGAAGGCGAAAAGGCCAGAGAGAGTGAACTGTGGCTTCAGAGAGTGTTTCATATAAGGAGAGAGGAGCGTGGCTGCGTGAGCGGGATGGTGCTACAGTTTGAACTTCTTTAAAACATTTTTTTGTTATTTCCACTTCTCTATTTTTGGCTCTTCCACAGCTAAGTTTTTCCTTTTCTTTTCTATTTTTTCCTTTTTTTTCATTTTTGCGTCTTTTCACCGATGAGTTATATTTTTTCAGTTTTATCTTTTGGTTATAGTAGCAAAGTGTGTAATCTGATTTGTATTCCCAATCAAATTCCGCCACGCAATTCCAAAAAGGATTACAAGGGATAAACTATCTCTCTCTCTTTTTTTTTTTTTTTCTTTTTATTACCAGAAAATAGCTTTAAAGAGTTTAAAAATTGTGCTATACATGGAAATACAAAGACAAAAAACAAATACTAGAAGCTAAGCATGGAAGTTTCTTTTGGCTCAAGAAAAATCCAAAACGTACCAGTTGGCCAGGGGAAAAAAATAAAAATTTTACCCATTTTATTAATAAATTATTTATATCTTGCCAAAAAATAATAATAAGTTGTAGTATGTTCGTGAAAATTATTATTGATTTTTAATTCACACGATATCACCGTAATCACAAGTTTTAGTTTATGGTTATTTTCAATCACCCAAAAAATTATTATTATGAACATTAATGTAAGGGAATGTAGATTTAACTTTTTACACCAAAATAAACTTTTAAATATTATCAAGTCATCAAATTTTATACAATATTTGCATATGATTAATTATTTAATTAGGCCAACAAGGCATTGTTTCAAAATTTTAGATTCAAAACTTATCATATATGAGTTTAATATAGTTTTGATAATTCATGTATTCTTATTTATTTATTTAATATCAAATATGAAAATTATTATATTAAAATTTATATAAACACATTGAATATGAAACATATTTTGTTTTTTTTATAAAATTTATATATGATTTTTTAAATTTTAAATTATATTAGTTTCATGTCATTTTTGCATGTGTCACTATTTAGTACTTAAAATTATCTGATTTAATTTAATGCATCTAATTATATGATGATTTATTAATTAATTTGTCTGTTTGTCTGTTGAATTATTATATGACATATATTATTTGATTATTTAATTATGATTGTAATTTTTTATGTAATAGTAATTTCATAAAAATAATTATGTTATTAGTTTAAATGTAGAAATATTTCAAGGATTTAAACTTGAAAGTGTTTTTTTTTTTTTTACCAAAAGGAAAAGATTATAGGGCCAAGTAAATGACTTTATATACATAATCAATAATAAATAACATGGGGTTTTGTTTTGATTTATGCTATTTGAATATGGTCACTTTGAGGCTTGGGCTACCCTGAAAAGAGGGAAATTCATGGCAGAGAGTCAAAATCAAAACCAAATCCCCATGTTCTTATGCCTCTAGTTTATGGGTTTTCCAAAAGAAGTGTGTCTTCTCTCCTCTTTTCATTTGAGGGGAACTGTTGTCAAGGAGAGAGAAGCATTTTACAACAACCTTGACCAATTGGGCAGAACTCAGAAGGGGTTAGTCAATGGGGCCAAGAGGAGCGCCCAACTCCTTATACAACCACATCCAAGGTCTTCTAATGCAAAGTGCAAAGCAGTTGACTTTAAAACACAACAATGGGATTTTAATTTCAAAACAGCAAATCATTTGAACTTTGAAAAGAAAATACAGTAGTAATAATGAAAACCTTTTGCAGAAATTCGCAAACTACAAAGTGGAATTGGAATCCAAAATAAAAACTTTTTTACTACTAATAAATTTTAGCAGGAGGGCCAAGAGGAACAGGCAAGCCTGCATGGTCCCCTCTGGTTGCGGTACAATTACCTTCCCCACCTAATTTTCTGCCACCCATTTCTATTTAGAAATCATTGCCATTACTGTGTAAACAAAAAGGGAAGCAACCAATTCATGGAAGTTGTGTTTTCATATTGTTTTGTTCAACATTGTAGCTCTAGACAATGTTCATTGATATTGGTCCGTTTCTAAATGCCTGTTGACAGATGGGACTCAATAATTAGAGCAAAATGGCTCTCACCCACCATTAGAATTGGATCTTAATTTTCAATCCGTTTCTTCTCGTCACTTCTTTTTTGAAAATTCTAAATTGTCTTTAGTCCACCTAAAAAGAAAAACATTATCTTCTTGATTCAATTTTTGTGAAAAATATTCTGAAAATAAAATCTTTAATAATAGGAGACACTATGCTGTTAACATTAACAAAATAATAGTAGAAAGGTTCATCTGAAAAATGTTGTTTGTCATATTAAGGAAGCCAAGAGTTGATGCTCTAAAAGAGCCGCATAAAAGGGCCAATGCTTGGAGTTGTTTGGGGCTGCTCCAATTTCAAACCAAGGGAAGTTTTGAAAGCATCTCTCTCTTCTTTTTGGTGATTTAAAGAAAACCATTTTTACAGCCACATATTGTGAAAGCCATAATCAAATCTATATTTCAAAATCTAAAGATTCCAACTTCATATATCAATAATTTAGAAGGGCAACTACTTTTAATAGAGAGGAATCCTTTTTCCATTTTGTAACAGTTAGATTTGGCTGCACCTTCACCCAAAGTTCATAAACATGAAACTGAGGGATATACTAAGGTATGCCTGTGGTCACTTCAGTGTTTTTGTCCCTTGTGATTCAACTGCAAAAAAAGTCAAAAGTGTCTAGTCCCTTTTAACACTGTTAACTTGTCAGCATTGGCTCTGCCTTTGTATCTACTAGTTCACCCCAGAGTGAAAAGGGTTCGACAAGAGGGGTCCATTGAGCCTTATCTTACACTGATTCAAGGCTCCCCTTTGTATCATAAAGTAGTTCAATTCCCATAAAATTTTGAATCTTAAGAAAGTTGAGACTTGACATTGTACCACAATCAACAAAAGGTGATATGTTCGGTTCAGATTAAATGTTTTAGATCTCTTGTTTGGTTGAGGATTGTAAAGTAAAATTCATTGCCCTTCATGTTACTTTGTGAAACTTCTCATTAAAATTTAGGTAGATTACACGGTTGAAAATGGTATAAAATGATGCAAGCTATGATTATTTAAGTCAAATAATTCATCAATTCTAGTTATTTCAATCACATATCTATTCTTTAGAGTTTAGAAACAACAAATTTTCATCTCCAAGTCTTGTGCTTTTTTTTAATACAAAAAAGACCGTAACTTGTAACTTTTTATCTATCGTAACTTAAAAATAAAAGAGAGAATTATAAGTATTAAAATTTAAATTTTAGACCTACTAAATGTTAATTTTTAAAGTGACTGTACGAATCAATTAAATTTAACACTCATATTCAAATCTTGTGATTTTAAAACAACAAACTGCCAGCTTGAGACCAGAGAAGCAAATGCAATATTGTTTTGAAGTCAAATCATTTGAATAATTGGCTGCTAAGATTTTTAAATTACAAGGAACATTTGAATATGAGGAAGGCGCCAACACAGCCAAAATAGCAAACTTTTCTAGCGACATGAGGCATGTGGCCTCTTCATTCTTTTTTTTGACTGGAAGGAAAGATGAATATTCACAAAGATGAAAGACAACAACATGTTCTTTTCTTTCCAATAATTAGAAAACTATTTCCTGACAAGGGAATTTACATTTGACCTTATGGCATTTGCTTGATGGTTATACCAAACTCTAGCACATCTCGAACAGCAGATAACAGTACGATTCAAAGACTGAGTACAGGATGTAGCATATACATGCACCATAGATGCAACTTATCTCAGGACCATCTTTATTTGTTTCCAACATTTTACTTCAACTAGAATTAAATACTTCTAGTGACAGGAAAAGATACACATGTAGGATCAGATGGAAAGCTTGCAACTCTGAGGTCGTGACACTGATGTTCCAGTTATGGTAAAGGTATTTAAAACATTGAGAGTTTAAACTGATGAACTCAATGACTACAAAAGAAAGGAGTATATATTAACTTAATAGGATATAAAACTTATATATCTGCTTTGTCATTATAATCGGTATTCATAGTTTCGTTGATTATATACTACAACTACGCATGTCTCCTTAGCAGATACTAGAGTTAACCAAAGTAGTTAAAAATCCTATTCCACTAGGGAAGATATAGTTTGACTTTTTTTATGATTTTTTTCCATTCTTTGGGATCTTGTTTCATTCATGGATGGATTGTATTATGCTGTAGGGGGCAGTATACTGGCAGCCACCTGAGCAGGCTCTTGAGAAAATTAAACAAATAGCATGGGAGCCTTCAACTAGCAATTATGGAACTCATGAAGGTCTTCCAGAGCTTAAGGATGCATTGTCAAAGAAAGTAATCATTTCTAGCTATACATAAACTTTTTAAGGTTCATAACTTCATATTAATTCATTTCTATAGCATCGAAAAGAAGATCCATTTACGTAAATAGATCTCAATGTATGGTCCCTGAATATGAAATAATTCTGGAATCAATATGACAAATCTGTGAGCCTGATTCCGCTCTGTCATTCTGTGATTTTATCTTTGATGACTTCTATAGTTTTCTCATTTATGTTTTCAGGTACTTTACATATGGCAGTTCAAAGCACTCTTGCATAGAAGGAAACAATGTTATCAGACAATTTATGTTCTTTCTCAAAGCATTTAGAATGATGGGGTGGAGAGTTGGATATGTGAGTGGAGTTTCAGCCATCATAATTAGCCTGTTTATAACAATAAACAGAGTGATTTTTATTGCAAAAATGAATGAAAAGATACACTTCCTTTTAGTTTCATTATTCCATGGAGCAACAAGTGAATATTGTTTGATTAAAAGCAGACATCATGGCACCTGTTTTTATTGTGCAATACTAGAATGAGTTGCTTTAGAGCTGTACTGTTAAATGTAAGTTATGACATAGAAAGTGTGTCTAATATGAATAATGTTGTTAAATGTTGGGAAAGTAGGCTAATAGTACTTGGTTGCATTCAGATAGCATATCCATCAGAGGCAAATGATCGTGGTACTCAGTTCCTTAAAGTTCAGGATAATGTGGCAATCTGCACTCCAATGATCTCACAATATGTTGCTCTCTATTGCTTAGAAGATGGACAAGAGTGGGTCAAAAACTTAAAACACTTCCCAAAACAAGGAACTTGTCATGAAGGATCTTTCTCCTCTAGGGGAGGATGCAGTGATCGGTGAGGAAGGAGCAATCTACCTACGGGCAAAACTCCCAGAGAGATATCTGAATGACTATGAAGTTGTTAGCTGGCTTGCACGAAAACATGGAGTGGTGGTGCTTCCGGGCAGTGCATGTGGTGGAAATGGGTGCATTAGAATCACATATGGCATGGTGAAAGAAGGGGGATGTGATATTGCTGCAAAGAGGCTAAGGAATGGGCTGGAAGAACTTGTGAAATGTGGCATGGTAGAGTAGCTATTCTAATCAGAAGCTCCATACAGAAGGTGAGATAATCCTTTCAGAATGTGTCTTTTAGATTATGACTATATTTGGTTTCTTATATGAGATCAGCATTACTAAGTGCTTTCTTCAACTATCCATTTTTTTATTGTATTCTATCAAAGATCATGGGATTTTTGCTCTATCAAGTAAAATCGGGGTATGTCATTAGGTATCTCAACAATTTTTATTCAATTCATGAAGATGGCTGATTCCCAGAATGGTACATTGTAGTTGTAATCTCAAATCAGCTCATACCTAAAAATGATAGGGGAAAAAAGAGAGCAGGTTCATTGGCCATGTTTGAGTTTGAACTTTGGAAGGAGGGCTTGATGAGGCCAATTGCATTATGCATATAATTGTACAATCATTCTTCACAAACTAGAACTACTTAATTGACAATTTCACATAAAATATATATGTGAGTGACAAATGTAGAATGTTGAATTTGGTTACCGAGAGTCCCTGATGTGAACAGTCACTTTATGCATCTCTTCTCACTTCTTCCATTGGGGCAGCCTTTGAACTACAACCTAAGACCAATAATTTAAAGATAGAAATTCATTAGATCTCTTATTTAACACATTATAACTGAGAAACTTCACTTTAGTTGCTTAAACTATGCGATCATCAATAATCCTTTAGGAAGAACATTTCTGCTCTTTTGTTTTAAACAAGTGGGAATTCAGTAATTGAACATAAAAACGCCTTGCAAGTAGTAAGTTGTCATCCCACAAAACAAAAAGTATTTATGCCTACATGCTTAACTCAAAAAGACAGGCATGCTAATTTTTACCTGTTCTAGGGGTCAAGTTATTGCTGCATAAAAGTTAGCATTAGTTATTTTAAAAGAGGGAATCAAAATCAAGTTCCTTAGGGGATATGGTTTCTCCATTTTTTTTCCTTGATATATTTGGAAAGAGTATAGAACATAAGCTACATACATAATCCATTTTCTAGGAGCAGAACTTTTAACTTCACATGATGAATCTATCTATGGACTAATTTCACTAAACAAATAATATATAGCATACTTCAACAATTTACAGGGGAAAGGCAGCAACAAGAAAATTGTTCTGCATCATACCTTGCCGAAGTTCTCCTTATTTCCTACAATAGTTTGACAAGCAAGCCTCCAAGAATCTGGTTTCTGAACATCAGAATAGTGGTTTTCAAAATTAGTCGAAAAGTATTTCATGTCAATGAGACACAATTATCACACTCTTGTTGTTTTAACAAGTAGCTGCTAGGATTTGTTGTTTAAATAACAAAATGGTTCTTAAATATGATCATAAATTGACTTTTGAATGTGATACATATGAAGAATACGAAAGGAAATAGACTGAGGGAAGAAAGCATGCCTTCTTGAGATATCGAAGTTCTGTGTTGGTTCTTTCATTCAAAAGATCCTTCCCATCGACAATCTTCAAAGAGTAAACAAAAGTGATATACATTTGATGCTTTTATCGAAATGAAAGAACACAATCAAGCTTCTCCGGTTAAAAAAAAGAATGCTAGAGATAACTGGATTAACTATTAGCAGTACTTCATTGATTCATACCTCTACAATGCAAGTTCCACAGCTTCCACCACCTCCACAGTTCATCACTTTTCCCTAATCTCAAATTCCAAGTAAAGAACATTAATTAAAGAAGAATTGCGAAAACCGAAACATATGAAAAAGCAAAAATAAATAAACAAAAGTTCCATTTCGTAAAGCGAACTTACATAGGCAGCATAGAGCTCAATCTTGTTATCCAACATGATGTTCCTCAGCAACTTTTCTCCGCTTATTGCTTTAGCTTTATCCACTGGGTACGACCCATCACTCCCTAGATTCGGCTGCCGCATTTCACCAATATCAAACAACAACATTCCACAACTTAAGACTTCAGTAAAAAAAAACAAAATGGGTTCATCTTTTTGCATATAAATATGTAGTACCCCAATAAATTCCAGATCGATTTCTGGCTTTTCTGATATAGCTGGTGAATTGGTTTCAGCAGAACTCGTTGCCAATGAGACAGAAACATGTCTTTTCCTGGGAATAAACTTAATTGTGCTCCTGTAACTGCTGTAGTTCCATGAAAATCCTGTTAGTGTGGTCGTTATGCTAGTTAAGTTCAGGGAAGCCATTGTTTATTCCGTACCCTTTCAGTTTCCAACCTGTTCTTTAAATTTCTCCTAAACATCTCACCCTCTTGAACGGTTGATCTGTAACATTTTGGGCCTCAAGTGCAGTGGTAGTATGGTAATTTTACAAATTCTCAAGATTGTGGTTATCATTTACTGGGCTTCCAATTTTCCACATTTTCTTTGGGCCTTTACAAAATACTGTTAAAAACTCTGAAATTCTTCCAAGTAAGAAAAAAATGAAAAAGGCAAAGCAAAATATGAGTTCTCTCTTCCTGCGGCAACGCGGTTTCCTTCTTCTGAATACTCATCACCTCCAAAAGCTATTCTTCTCTGATCAATCATGGCTTTCCAAGAAAGGAAATCCTCTTATAAAGTGGCCCCCACCATCTTCACCTCCTTCTGCTACCAACAGCAAACCTCACCCAATTCCCACCCCTGGTTTCTCCCAAACCAATTTCTCCATCATCTCCAATCTCCTAAAAAACCCTACCATTGCCTCCGGTTCGTCTCTCGAGTCCGCCCTGGACCAAACAGGAGTAGACCCAGATCTCGGTTTGGTCCAGGCAATATTCGATCACTTTGCTTCTTCTCCAAAATTGTTGCATAATTTATTTCTCTGGGCTGAAAAGAAACCTGGGTTTGAATCCTCTGCGACGCTGTTTGACTCTATGGTCAATATTCTTGGCAAGGCTAGGGAGTTTGAGGACGCGTGGAGTTTGGTTCTCGATCGGATTGGTGATGGAAAGGAGGGTTCCACTTTGGTTTCCGTCAATACCTTTGTAATTTTGATCAGACGGTACGCTCGCGCAGGTAATTTCCGTGATATTTTGCTTAAAAAGATTTGAGCTTTTCTTTGTGCCTAGAAGTTTGATGTTGGAATCTTCATAGAGCATTTTGTTTGACTTGCCTTCCCATTCAATTTTCTGTGTCAACTGTTTGCATTATTTACATGCAGTTAACTTTTCCATGTATATGAAGGTATGGTCTACCAATTCGATGATGATTTAGCAGATCCATAAATAAGATATTGAATTTGAGCTAAGAAATTATGGATTCCCACTATTTATTATTGCAGCAAGTATATGTACTTGCCACATGTCCAATTAGCCATAAATAAGAAAACCACTATTTAAACTTCCCTGATGATGTTTAGGATAATGATATATAGGTTTTTGCAACATTTGGTGGGGCAAATACTTGGAATAGAAGTATTAGGATGGACACTGTTTTCCCTTGTGGTACGAGTACAAGATTGGGTTTGTTTCTAGTTTCATGAAGATACTTAATATTTTAAAGGTTGACGGATTTCGGCATGTGTTTTGGAATGCAACATTGGAATTTGGATTTTTTTAGTTTTATTCTGTTTTTGGAGTTTTTATTTTGGTCTCATTCTTATATGTTGGCATGCTTGTAGACTTATGGTGCTCAACTGCTTATTTTTTAACCTTTTATGCTTATATGCCGTATGACATTAAATTGTTTTGCAGTTTAAGTGGCAAAGCTTGAATTTTAGTGTTTTTTTGGAATTAGTGATGTTTATGCAGTTTACATTCATGCAGGTATGACTCAGGCTGCTATCCGCACATTTGATTTTGCAAGCAGTTTAGATCAAATTTGCAATTCTGATGAGAAAACTAATATGTTTGAAATAATGTTGGATTCTCTTTGTAAGGAAGGGCATGTTAGGGTGGCATCAGAATATTTCACTAGAAGAAAGGAAATAGATCTTGCTTGGGTTCCATCAGTCAAGGTTTATAACATACTATTAAATGGATGGTTTCGGTCGAGAAAGCTCAAACATGCAGAGAGACTTTGGTTGGATATGAAAAGGGATGGTGTGTCTCCTAGTGTTGTAACATATGGTACCCTTATAGAAGGATACTGTACAATGCGTCGTGTTGAGATGGCAATGGAATTGGTGGATGAAATGAAGGGGGCAGGAATTGAGCCAAATGCAAAAATATATAATCCAATTATTGATGCACTGGGGGAATCTGGTAGGTTAAAGGAGGCATTAGGGATGATGGAATGGGTTTTGTTGTGTGAATCAGGCCCTAATATTTCCATGTATAATTCTTTAGTGAAAGGTTATTGCAAGGCCAGAGATTTAGTAGGGGCTAGTAAAATACTTAAGATGATGATTAGCAGGGGTTTCATCCCAACCACTACAACCTACAATTATTTCTTTAGGTACTTCTCACAATTCAGGAAAATTGAGGAAGCTATGAATCTTTATACAAAGATGATTCAGTCTGGTCACACTCCAGATCGGCTTACTTACCATCTTTTGTTGAAGATGCTGTGTGAGGAGGAGAGGTTGGACTTGGCAGTTCAGGTTAGCAAAGAAATGAGAGCAAGGGGATATGATAGGGACTTGGCTACTAGCACCATGCTGATTCATTTGCTTTGCAAAGTGCATAGGTTTGAAGATGCTTTTGGGGAGTTTGAGGACATGATACGAAGGGGTTTGGCTCCACAATACCTTACTTTCCAGAGAATGAATGATGAGTTAAGGAAAAGGGGAATGACTAAGTTGGCAAGTAAACTTTGTGATATGATGAGTTCTGTCCGTTCTTCCAAAAAATTGCCCAACACATATGGTGGAGATGAGGACTCATCACGAGGAAGGAGGACATCCATAATGCGGAAAGCTGAAGCAATGTCTGATATTCTAAAGACATGTAATGATCCAAGAGAACTTGTTAAGCATAGAAATTTATCTGATAGGGCTGTATCAAGAGCAGGCCAGTTGATTGAGATTATCAAGAAAAGAGCTAAAGAGACAAGTATGAATAGTTAAGGCCTAAGAGCAAGGGAAATGACAACAATGGAGCTAGCATCAAGAAATTTTGATGCAGGTGCTATTGGATGGCTTCAGTTATCTGCCAGGGAATATTTATTGGAAAGTGATTGTGGAGAATTGTTTTCTGATTGAGATAGCATGTCATATACTGTTATGAAAGTTTGTGTAACTTTCAGTATTAGACCACCAGCAGTGTGATGAAAATGAAAGACCATTTATATACTGCATGTATTGGGATGTGAAGGACACAATGATAGAAAAGATTGATGCGAAAGCTTTAGGATTCCTGAGCTCTTTCTTTTTATTTGAAATTGACTTGGAGGGATTTTTGAGGCCGCAATTACTTAGCACCATCTCTTCTTTTGTCATTTTCACTATTTCATTGTCAAAGATGGAATCCCAAATCTATGTTCTTGGATTGATTTGAAGGGTTACTGCATGTGGAATGTGGGTAAGATATAAATTATACTTAATTATTCTAAATTGTGGAATCATGTTATTTACATTTTTTGGGTTCTTTTCCCCTTCCCCCACTTTAATAAAATGAGACTAAAACTACTCTTCAAAGAGTTTTACTTTCTTTTAAGCTTGACATGCATAATCAGTAGATGATGTTTCATTAAACCAAGTAAGCTAACACATTTTCCTTAAGTTTAATTCTCCAAATTTCTTTCCCAAACTGTTATATGTATTGCTTTTTCAATGTTACTATTATAAGTATTAGATACAACAATTATTTGCATCTTTTGTTGGTAAAACTTTGACCCCATTACATGCTCAAAGTTGTCAGGTCTATTTTAAAATTTTGGCCCCCTATATAGACAAAATAGTTACCTACATTACATCGTCAACTTGATGGGCCCTATAATCTTGTATATATGAATTACCCTTGCACTGTGGACCCTTTGAGGACGAAGGTTCTCTGATAATAGGAATTGCTTCTTTCTCAAACTTTGGCCCAACAAAAAGAGAACCTCCCCTGACTAAACAATTTCTTTGACAGGGGTTATTTTGACTTGGGTGATTTTAGCAAATATCTTCTGTAAAGCTGCCAGAAATTTGGGCATATGAAGCTGGTTTTGCTGTGCATCTGCATTGTGCCTTTGATATATTATGTATTTTTTGTATAAAGTGTTTTTCTGTTATGCAATATGCCACCGCCGAAAACAGGACCTATTTACACATCTAGTAAGACTAGGCTATTAAACTTTGTCATTTCATTAATACCTATGCTTGCTATGATATCCTTTGCTGGTCATGTTTCTGAATTGGTGCTCCATTCTCAACATTTTGTAAGTTAGCAACTATTTAGCAAGCACACTTTTATTTAATAGCTTTAAAATGCCAGTCTTAGAAAAGGGGTCTTTAGCAAAAGATGGATTTTTCCTGCTTCCCAATGGGTGTCTGTTGAGTTATGAATCATCCTTAGTGCAAGGCATGTGTACCTGTTACTATTTTGGATGTAGTACTTAGGAGAAAAGTATTTTGGAGATGTACCCCGTTTAGGAATTTTTTTCCTTTTTGAAACATTGAATGCTGATAGTATTGGAATCAAGAAATGAAAGGTATGTTAAGAAACAAGGCATAATAACTTATTGTGTATATACTTTTGAACTTGGTCTATTACGCGGTTTGAACTGATTTCCTTGCATCCTGTCTTGATTACATTTCCGTTTCCTTGCATTTGCCATAACTCTTAAGTCTCATTTCGTCACTATGAATCACTTGTCACTCAATCATTAACTTCATGTATAGGTGAAATTTGGAGTCTGTGATACATGATGCCTGTGGGGTCTGAGAGGGAATCTTATCTATTGAAAGACTTTGACAAAGCATATGGTCCACGCATGAATATTTGAGGGGTGTAAGAAACACCAACTGCTTTCATACAGGGTAACTTGTTCCTTCAATTCAAGATGTGATGGCTTATTATTGGTGGGGTTTGATTGTCATATGAATTACATCACTGATTCTTTTTATCATCTAATTTGGTTTTAAATGTTGCCTGTTATGGACAGCTGTGGACTAATGATATCTTCACCCTAATAATTCATCTTAATTGTGGGCAAATGCTGGACTTGAATAGATTATTAGTCTGGAACTTGATTGTCATGATTTGGAATTTTGGATTGTATAATCTAGCTAACTAAAAAAGATGTTGGGGTTACATATGATGTTTTTCAGATTTGGCTTGAGAGTGATGATTGTGGTAAAATGCTTCAAGATTTCATTTTAGATTAAAACGTTTTCACTGTACTATAGAGCCAAATGACTTAAAATTAAGACAATGACGCATCTAACTTGACAGCAATTTTTTTCTCCTTCTTTCACTTTCATTTTACAGGCCAAGGTAGTAATCAATATGTTTTAATAGCTTAGGTGACATGAATGAAAATGACAGAAAGATCTCTGGTACAGGTTCTAGCACTGATAATCCCACTTACTTAAACAATGACGGAAATAAATGAATAAACAAGTGGAGGGTGGATACCTCTTGGAAAGCAAGATTAGGTTTAAACGCACTACTAATGTTTAAATGCATTATTATGTTATCTTGTCCTTGTGATATTGTGGGCACCCACCCTTTATTGGTAAAACTTGTAAAAGGCTAATCTGTATAGCATGCTTCTCACCAAATTGGCAAATTGACCCTTATTATAACCATTCCAACGTGTCATTGATGAAAGCCACAAATGAAAATGTTTTTATTTTGGGGTAGTGATTTCTCCTTGATAAGATTTGAGTTCTAACTCCATAAATAAAGATGAAAGAACAAAGGCTGTCCTCGCTTTGCATAAATATCTTAAAGATATATAGTGAAACCTGCCTCAAGTTAAACAATAATGAAGCTTTTTTTCTTTCCATCTAATTATTTTTCATACAAGATTTCGCTTAGTTTTTTTTTTTAATTATTTTTTATACAAGAATTGTTGAACTGTTCATTTTTATACCTGACTGTATTTTCATAATTGTCGTTATGATAGAAAAATAATAAGCCTTTGTTTATAAGTCACAGTTTCATCCATAAGTAATAACATTGTGAGATCATTTCTCTTGCAACAAAAGCACTGAACAATCACCATGCAAAAGAAACTTCTTTTTTTTTTTTTTAAATCTATGATTTTATCAGGAACTGTGCAATTTCAGCGTCTTAGGTCCGTCTGACAAGCTATATTTCAAACGTGGAAAACCGAAAGTAACGGTTCTGACACTCAAATGGTAAAATAGATGGACATAAACGGAGCTGTCACCTTCGATTTCTCTTGCTTGAAATCTTGAAGAAGGAATTTCAGGAAAAGCATTGTAGCGAGAAATTTACATGCCCAAGGAGTACATGCGTTAGTTCCACCAAAAAGGAAAAAGTTTGCTGTGTTAAAGAGGGAAATTAACATTAGTTCCACCAAAAAGGAAAAAGTTTATTGTGTTAAAGAGGGAAATTAACATTCTTTTTGGTATAATTTTTTTTTCAATTTTTTTTTTATATTTCAGCTACCACATCGACTGTCATGTCATTGTTTATTGTGTTAAAGAGGGAAATTAACATTCTTTTTGGTATAATTTTTTTTTCAATTTTTTTTTTATATTTCAGCTACCACATCGACTGTCATATCATTAACATTTACACATAATTACCACATAATTAAATAATCACTTATTAAATTAATCATGAAATGATATAAAAAAAATATGATCAACTATGCTAGACTCTTTTCATTCTCTCTACTTTTATCCTCTCCTTTTTCTCTGTTTCTTTTTTTCCCTTTAAATACTCAATTGATTTGAGCATCCAATTACATTTTGAAATACTATTTTTTACACTTTTTGATCTTAGTCTCTCATTGAACACACTGAACTTTCAACCAACTAATTCAATAACTAAACTTTCAACCAACTCACATTGAACACAGAAACTCGTCAACAGTATCAATTGCATTACATGGACATGCCAATACCTTTTCTTATAGCCATACATAAAAGATATGATATTTCAGTGAAATTTTAAAGAAAATAATAATAATTATTATTTTTTTAGATTTACAGTGATTTGAGTGGAGAAATTAACTGACAAAGAAGACAAGAAAGTGAGGTGCTTTACACGGAGGCCCAAGTGGAAATTGGCAAATGGTAAGCATAGGCAATGGCAATGTCAATTATGGTGGGAGCAGTCAACAATATTCCCCATTCCCCTCCTCTCTCTCTCTCTCTCTCTCTCTCTCTCTCTTTCCGTATTGCCCTCAAAATCCTCCTTTGCACGTGTTTTGCCTTTTACCCCTCCATTTCCATCTTCACTTTTCACTCCCCAAATAATTTTCACTTTTTGCCTTCCAATCCCTCCATTTGCATGCATTTATAATTGACAAATGCTGTTTTTATTCAATTTTTCTTGTTGAACTTCAAAGTGTTGGTTTGGATTTATCTTTTCAATTGCTCTTCTTCTCAAATAAAATGCACTTTCATCTTTCATTTATGCTTTTTATTATGAAACCCAATTCTTAATTATAGAAAATTAATTGAAATGATGAGGTATCATTAACACTTTTACAATTTTAACAAATAAAAATACATTTTCTTTATTTTACCATTAAAAGATATTTTCATTGTTAGTTCATTATCGACTTCATAATGTACAAATTCATGAAAAGCCATTAAATTTTATTTTCAAAAACAAATTTTAAAAATTAGAGCTTAAATCATGGATAAAAGCTTTTATATTCAAGTTTGAGAATGTGGAGGTGAGATGTTTAAGGGAAGTCAGATTGTTGTTTGTTGTTCATAATGTAGCTCAAGTCTTAGTAATCTCTCTATTTACAAGAGAAAAGTAATAGTATCAAATTTCCAAAAGATTGCTTGAATCACCAAATATAAAAAAGCAAAGCTACAACCTACAAGTAAATTGTAAAAAAAAAATGACACATGTGATTCTTAAACATTTTGAGATGAACTAACATTATAAAAAAAAAAAAAAAGATGATTTCAAATAAAAATGAATTAAGTTATAAAAAATAGAAAATAAAAATTAAGTGAAATTTAAAAATAAAATATAGAAGAAAGGACGTAATTAATGAATTAAATACTAGTAGGTTAATGCAATCCGTAGTTGTCTAATTAACCATTTATCATCAATTATAAATGTGATTAGCTTTTGTAATATGCATTAATAACAATTTTTTAATGTTTTTAATGGATGTCCATAGGCACCCGTTAGTATTTGCCTAAAGCAATTTATTTTTTCAGTACATTATAATTTATAACATTAAATGGCAACTATCACATTTATGATAATAATATTACTATGATTGATATTTTTATTAATTATAAAAAGTGCATACATTTGTTAAAAAAATCTTTTAATTTCTATTGCGAAAAATAAAAAATAATAGTTTAAATTATTAAGCTACAACCATCTCACATTCTTTAAATAATCTTAGTCACAACATGATTTTCAAGAAATGAATGAAATTGACACTCCTTAAATTCTGTCATGTTAATCATGGATGTAAGTTGCTTTAGTTATGGCACTTCCCAAGATTAAAGACTAAAATCCTCATTAATACTTAGTTTTTACAAAAAATTATTTGAAAATGTCAAACACATGTTGGCCAATAACATCATTAACTTTGTACAGAATCCAAAAATAATAATCATTCTGATTGATTTTTTAATTAATTATCATTGTGATTCATTAGTTGCCAATAACATTCTTCATTCATTCCAAAACAATTAATTTACTTACTAAAATATAAACATTTAACAAAATACTTTTTTTTTACTTGTACTATAAGAAATTTTTTTAAAGTTTGTAAACATAAATATTAAGTTTAAAAGTAAAATTATAATATTGTAAAAAATTGAAATCCATGTGGTAAATCATTTTTATATAAAAAGAGTTAAAAAAGGAGTTGCAGATTGCAATAAGCACCCCATATAGTTAAACCCTTTACCACCTTCCAATAAAAGCAAAATCTTACTATAAAAAAAAAAAAAAATAGAAGCAAAACCTTTGTTGGGGTGATTGCACAATTCTCAAGAAGTATATATCCCAACCAAACAAATAAAAAAAGTTAAAAAAAGGGAAATTGCAAAGACAAAAATTACCAAACTCCCCACCTCGTATTTCACTTCACTTCTCTCTCTCTCTCTCTCTGTGTCGTTAAGAAAGAACTGAAAAAATACAAACACAAACGAAGACATTTGTGCCGGAGAACAAAACAACCCAACATTCGGACACTGATCGAATCAAACAGAGAGAGAGAGAGAGAGAGAGAGAGAGAGAGAGAAAAAAAACCCAATTTAAACTGAGAGAACAACCCCCCAAAAAGAGAACCTTTTGCTTTTTAATGCTCTCTCTCTAAAAGGACTTTGAGTCTGAGTTTCTCACACTCTCTCTCTTTTTTAAAAATCGTGCTCTCTTTTTTCACTTTTTGCTTTCTCTTTTTAACTAAAGAGTTTGAGAGAGAAGTGAGAAGGTAGGCTATGGTGGAGCAGCAGTAGCAACTGCAGAAGAATGATGATGAAGTGGAGATATCGGTGATGATGGTGAAATGGCTGTACTGAAAATGGCTCAACAAAGCAAAACTACCAACACCAACAATGCCAACACTAACAACATTTCAACCCATTTGCAACACCAACAAGTAAAGCCAACAATGTTTCATGATTTCCTGGGCATGAAAGCTACAGAATCCCCTGTCGTTTTGGCCCCTAAGGCCAATGATGCAAGGTTTTCGGAGGCTTCCCCTTCTGCTTCAGCCTCTATTGGTGCCTCTTCTGGCGGTGGTGGTGCTGGCCGTGGGCCCATCTCTTCCACCTCGGATCTGGGTTCTGGTTAGTTTCCCTATCTTTCCCTTTAACCTTTTTTTTTTTTCTTTCATTTTCTTCAAAGCTGTAATGTAAATGGGTTGTTTTGCTTTTAGTTTGAGTTTTTTACTTGGGTTTTTAGTTTTTTTTTTTTTAATTTTTTCTTCTTTTTTCCCTTGTTGTTTTTGATGGATAGTTTTCATGCGAAACACCTCACAGTACAATAGCTCATTAGGGAATGACGGAATGTGGAAAGTATGATGCTTGCTGTATAGTTGATGGGTAGTTTTGATTCTTGGTTCTGGTCTCTGCTTGAGACTTAAAAAGCTTGATTTAGCTGTTAAAATAGCAAGTCTTACTCTTATGGTTGGGTTTGGTGTCTTTATGATGGATTAGTTTTTGTGAGGTCAGCAATGGGGTTGGTAGCTCCTCCCCAGGGTCATCCCTTCTCTCTCCATTTTTTATTTTCTCTGGTTATTTTGTTCCCTTATTTTACTTTTAGATAGATAGCTGTTTAAAATAAGCGGTTATGGTTTCACTTTCAGTTGGGGATTTTTAGTTCTATGATTTGTCTGCCTTTTTAAAGTAGGTTAACCCTTTATGGTGTGTGATGACTTCATCTACTCAATGCTGCTGCGCAACGTCTTAGCTTTTTACCTAATGTTGTCATCTCTTGCGGGTAAAAGCCATTGATGCGTCTATGCTACGAGTTTTTGTTTTTCCTCAGAAACATCTCATTACAAAATTGCAATTACGTGTTGCTGGTTACCTGTTGTGCGTTTGCTCATAATGATATGCTTTTTTACATCAGTATGTTGACATTCCTAATATTCAACCTTGTTTCTTGTGATTGTACTGCTGAGGTGGCAAGATGCCTGAAAGTACCTATGTTTTCTGAAATGGGATTCTACCTATTACAATAAAAGTTTGATCCATTTTCTCATCAATTAGTAGAAAGACAGGTTGGAAATCATCTTGAGGGCATTCCGTACTATGGTCCAAGGAGTGAAATATCTGGGCCAGAGATAAGCAACAGATTGGTAAGAAGTAAGAGAAGCAATCCAGATTCGGTCTTTATGGGTCATGAATCTCTTGAGAGCTTGCATTTGATGAAGGTATTTGTCATATCTTATCATGTCTTCTCTAAGAGAGACAGAAGCTCCATTTGTTGTTATTTGCATTTACTAAATATTTTTCTTTATATTTTTATTCAGATGCTTCACAATGGGGCTGGGGGAGAGAGACCTAGAAGGTCCAATGAGGATGAAGTGTTTCTTGGTATGCAGTCAATGAGACCTTCTTCTGCATCTCTTATATTACATCCTCCCCCTGGTAGCAGACTTGAAGGCAATTCTTCCAAATGGGAGAGGTCTGTCCCCATGATAGGTTCTGCAGTTCAGAATGCATCACGTGGTGGTCACTTTGTGCCTTTTATGGCTCAAGTATCTTCAAACAGGTTCAAGGATACAAATGTTGGTCCTTCTGTTATCTCTCAGGCAGCTGCTGATGAAGGATCTAGAACTGGAATTAAAGGCACTGGAATTTTGAGTTATATTAATTCAAGTGGTGTTTCCACTGAGAAAAACTCATCTGGGGTAATGCCAAATGGGAGCAGGCCAAAGTCTGGAGCTCATATTTCTGATCCGGAGTCGTCAGTTCCTCCAAGGTGAATTTAATATGGTCTTTGTTTCTGTTTTTGGTTGTTGGCTCTGGAAAGGAAAAAAATATATATAGATGATGATTGCTATATTTTCTTTTGTTCTCAGTCGACAAGGATTAACATCTGCCAGCCAGCAAATGACTATATTTTATGCTGGTCAGGCTCATGTCTTTGATGACGTGCATCCAAACAAGGTTGGTTTCTTGTTGTTTGCCAATGGACCTTGAGTTTTTTAATTTCAATTGTTTCGATAAAGCTTGTGGTGCATGCTTTTTATGATCTCTATTTGATTCAAATATTTCATCTAGCTGAGTGTTTAGGTTTAGATTGGCTAGGCTAAGTTGATATTGCAGTGACATTGTATAATCCATAGAATTGCAAAAGCATGTAGGTTTCAATTTTCTCTGTTGCTGGTTGAGTGAATGTCTTGCACAAGAGGACTGTTGAGCTTAAGACCATATATAATGTAACATGAGTGTAGAGCTGCGTTCTTAACTATGTGTATTGAAGCTTAGAAGTTCTCATAAAGTTTGATATGTCATCATGTTTTCAGAAACATCAGAAGAGGTTCCTGTGGATTCTTTGGTATCCACAACAGCTTTGAGAATATGAGGGATGAACCTGTGATATGCTTCTTTCTCCAGAATATGTTGTTGATTCAAGTAGCTTGTTTAGGGTGACAGAATGTGGCGAACTACTTGAAATGATAGAATGCTGCTTTTTTACCAATATAGGACTAACAAAACACAATTTGCAAATTCAGAGACCTGACACTTATATTCAGGAGTTCTTTAACTTAAACATGGTATAGAAAAGTGGAGTAAAGTTCCTGTTCATGTTGCTCCTGTCATAACCTGAGTTTATGCAGTCCATTACTCTAGGAAGTGGAGCTACCATTGTTCCTTAGACACATAAATACTCTTATCATTAAGGCTAGTTGTGGAGGACTGCTGCCTAGTTTTAAGTGTACTTATTTTTGGTGGAAATTTACAAAATAGGGCTTTGTTATTTGGGCTTCATACATGCTGATTTTACTATCTATCTGGGATTTAATAATGTGGGCCATGAACTGCAGTATTACATTTGCTCATACATATAATTACGAGGACCTGTCTGTTACCTTTGATTATTGAGAAATTGAGATTTTGATTTGAGAACTGAAGATTATTGCAGACTTGGGAATTTGAATGCAACTGAGATTTTCCAAAGTTTCTTCCACTGGTGTTTCCTTTTTTATTCAATTTTCTGTCTTTGAGATACTAGCGCTAAGTCATTGGAGCAATGCCTTGAAATAATACATGGCAACTTCAGTTTTAAGTTGTCTTAGCTTGTATTAGCCCCTTTGCTCTCTTTTGTGGTGATATAAAAGAGGATTGCATTTATGTTTTTTGGGAAGTCAGTTATGTTCTACTGTGGATATGGCTAGGTTGTCTGATAGCCTGGTATCACTTGCTACTGTAGAAGATTTTAATTGCATGCAACTTTTGATAATTCTGCTAATTTGAGTTACTTGTCTGTGGTTATATTGACCGTTATACTTTGTTGTTTCACATTGGCTTTTACTATGGGTGGATCATGTCTGCTAATCAGTGAGTTGAGCTCCATTTGGAGCTATATTTCTATGGGAAGCCCTTTTTTTTTTTATGTGATTTTAGTTTTGAAGTTCAAAGATGGTTAGTTTTCAGTTACACTTCTGTTCACTGCTTCAAACGTGATGTTTGATGGCTATACATAATCCTAAAATATGCCATTTGAGTGGAAGGACATTTATGATCCTTCAACTTTCTTCATAGAGGAGGAATATTATTATAGGGGACTGAAATTCCGTCGTTATGTTCTGTTTATTTTCCTTGGGGAAGTTTGATGTTTGCTGCAAAGTCTACTGATATTAAATTATTTTTTGTTTCTTCACTTGAGGAATGATTAGCTTTTGGTATAATAATTAATGGTTGTCCGCTATTTTTTCCTATATATACAATTAATATTATGTCTTGTTAATTTACCGTTTTATCCATCATTTGGTCTTAGTCTCACTTTAATCATCCTCTCCTTCTTTGGTAATTAATTTTGTGTAATCGTATTACACTTGGCATCTGATGTCCAGTATTTTATCTGAAATTCTCTTCATTTACTTCTTCTGCTAAGGGGCTTTGGATTTATTTCTTATTGAAATGGAAATGGCACTAATGTGTATTCAGTCATGTGCCCTTCCCCTATTTTCCAATATTTGTCACCAATTTGTGATAGCTTTAGTTTGGAGCACAATCATCTTGGATCCCTTGTTCTTTCCTATGCCTCATTTCTGCCCCATTCCTTGAGATTGAAACTTGCGTATTGAGTTATATAAAATCTACTTATAATTAGGTACACAAATAATACGAGGCAGTGAAGGCCTTACCGTAGGAGTTTGACTGCTAAATGTGAAATCAATATAAAGAGAGAGCTCCTTAACTGAAGAGATTCCCTTTTTAACTTAGAGTTTAATGACATGCAAGGTTTTTACTGTGCAGGACCCCACTTATACTAAAGCTCTTTCAGAATTTAGTCTAGTGGTCTGTGGCCTAGTTGGTCTTGTTGACATATATGAATGCCAAGGCCTATAAGGAAGTTAAATTTCTTTTGTGAATCATTGAATTTTAACTTGTAAAACTCTACATATTTGTTTTGTAGCAAAAGGAGTATGTCTTTCTCTAGTATTACTTAGCAGAGGTTTTTGTAGGCCATTGTGAATTACCAGTGTTCATCATACTCTTAGTTATCTCAGTGAATGATTATAGTTAATATGCTTCAACTTTTAATTGTCATGGGACAGAGTACTGTTTTATTTCAAAAATGATTTTGTGCTTTAGTAAAAGTGGCAAGGGGCTCTTTGTTTCTCATAAAACATAGTTGTACATCTATCTTCGGGTATAATGTCTGTACTCGGTATGTGATGAGTTGCTGAGAATGTGGAAACAGATGTTTCTCGTCCAATTCTAACATCATTGCATTGTTTTTTTTTTTTAATTATCTTTATTTTGGTAAAAAAAGGCCTTTTATTTAAGCACATTTTTTTTCCCTGAATAAAGTATATGCTTCTCTTGAAGGTACCAAGCAAGGCTAGTTCTATTAAACGACAGGTTAACGAATTCCAAAGCTTCCTGTGTGCCATCTTTTAGTTAAACACATGAATTATGCCTCTCTACGGTATCTAGTTGTTATTGTATACTACCGCTTTGAGCCGTTGAAGCTAAACATTTTCATACGCTGGTTCTTGTCACTTTTCTAGTTTTCCCATTTTTTTTAGAAGTTTTCATTGGTATTTTTTCATGTCTTGTGTCATGTCAGGTATTTTGTATCCTGAATTTCTTAACATACATTTCTGGTCATGACCTGTTTGCTGCATTGTCACTTCAGGCAGATGTCATAATGGCGTTGGCTGGATCAAATGGAGGATCTTGGTCGACAACTTACTCTCCTAAATCTGCTGTGAGGCCAGTTAGTGAAAATTATTCACCTAGTGGAGAACCTGAAGCAGTGGGTAGCATGGCATTCTCGCGGGAATTTCGAGGGAGGATAAGTGTTGCTGGTAATACTAGTCAAGGAACTGGTTCTGGTGAACGAATCTCAACACAAGCAGGTGAACTTTCTACTTCCTCCCTTGGTATATAGTTTCCATTTTGGTGCATTTCCGTGGTTTCCCTAGCATGACCTAGAAAACATGTTCTATTGTGTCCAATTCCAAATGAGTTGCTTTCTTCTTTTTTTTTTAATTTGTAAGCACGGAAATAAATGTAATCGGCTCAGGATTCAAATATGATTCTGCAACTGATAAGAAATGTTCTACTTCAGCATGCTTATGGTGTTCATTACCGTCTAAAATGTAGGGGTTCCTCAAGGCACCGTTGCTATTGCGAAAGATGCAAGAAATCCAATTCAAGCAGCAGAGCCTAGTACTGAAGATAAAAGAGTGGTATAAAGTTAAGGGAGTTCGGAATTGCTTTGAATCTATTAACCTGGCTTATTAGTAAGAACGAACCGTGTCTTATCTATTTCGTCAATGCTCAACTTTTTTCTTTTCTTTTTTTTTTTTTTGAATTTTCTCGCGTTATTAACCTTTTTCAGAAGTAAAGATAGGGTGGGTGGTTTGGTTTATCAATTAACCATCAGCTGCAGATCTTTCTAAGCTTCACATGTGCTCTTAATTTGCTCTAATTAATCTTTAATCCAATACATAATATGCTAATAGGTGAATACTCTTTGAACTCACTTGTAATTTTGTTTGTTCACAACGTTTAAAGCTCCAATAATTTTTTGATTCGAGCAAACAGATATGGATCGATATTGAATTAAATATTTGGATGAGAAACTTATATCAATAATTGAATCAAATATTGGAATACAAAATTTCAAAAATTAAATGTTGATTTCATCTTGACTTTAGATGGTGTCAATTAAATAATTCTCTCAATTTCCATGCTAAATTAAAAGGATATTGATTGCAAGGAAAAGCCATATCCAACATGGCAATGAAGTTCTTGTGCACAGTTTTAGGGAAAAGCAGAGATCTGCCATATTTCCAAAGCTACAAGATTTTCTTCAATCTCAAATTCTTCATTTGATGTTTCGAACAAAGCCTGGGATCAAGGACAATTACCAAATCTCATCTGAGTTGGGCTTAGCTGACGAATGGCCATTATGAGTAAACTATGTATATATATTAAAAAAAAAAAAGAGAGGGATTAATTTATCAGTTTTTGGTATTATAATTTTTTTAATAATTGATTTTACTAGATTTAAGAGATAAGAGAGTTAAGTAAAAGAAAAAAAAAGAGTTAATCTCATCTTCTGAGTTATTAAAATTAATGATTATAAAAAATGCAAAACTTTTTTGTGTAAGTTGATATTTTATCTAAAAAATTTCCAACTTTGATATTGTCTTTTGTCAAAATTTATAAGCCAAAAAAATTATTAAAGAAATTAAAATACCAAAAAAAAAAAGAAAAGAAAAAACAACAACAACAACATGAAAATGCCAAAACCAATCCCACGATAGTTAGGCCATGATCACTTGCAATCCTATAGGTATCCCTACCAACTTTTAATTAACAAATATGAAAAAGAAAAAGCAGAGCTCATATAGAAAAACAGAACATCTAGACTCCAAATTAGAATACAAAGCAAAAGCAATTTTGATAACTACTACCATTTATCAATTAGAAATACAGCAAAAACGTTAGAACATATAAAACTAATACGAAATCCAATTGTGAATAGAAGTAAAAAAAACAGTAAATAATAATAATAATAATAAAGCTGAAAGCGTAAGGATAAAAAACAAAAGAACAATCTGAGTTTAAAAATGAATATGGAGGACTTGTTGGAACTTGCATTTCTTACACTTCTAAAGTCCAAACAGTAAAGATTCCGACAAACTAACTTTGAACAGATCGAAACTCCTTTGGATTTTTCTGTTCGAAATAATAGCTCAAGGACTGTATAAATGAATCATAATAAGAATCAGTCATTACAATAAACAAAAGGCAATTACTCATCCTAGACAAAAGGCTGTCATGGCTCGAATATCCTCCTCACTTGCCGCTGTTTCCCAACTCTTGACATTCACAGCATTGGACCAAATCCTAATGAGCTCTGTGTTATCAGATTCAATGATAACTTTGTCCCAACCCATAAATTTCCACAAGGGCAAAACCAAGGCTAATTGCTAATGCTTCAGCCACTGGTAAAGAGCCTAGTGCAGAGCCTGCCTGCCTGCACAAGTGAGTTGGTTCCATCCACAAGGGATCCGTGACATATTGTTCTCATACATGGGCTTTTGGAAAGTTCTCATAAGAGTTTAAAGTTCTTACCCTCGAGTGGTTTGATCCAGCTTTTACCCTGCTGACTTTGTAATTAAATCAAAATAACAGACACCATTCTCGACGAAATCACAATTATATATCTGAAATAGTCAACAAAGAAAGAAAAAGAAAAGAAAAGAAAAAAAACTCTAAATTAAAATTGTTGTTTTCAGACTAAGTAACTCATACTTGAGAAGCATTATTAAGACCCTATAGTCCTTACAGTCGTAGGATATTGATTGACATCACCGAACTTATTACCATGTTTCACTCATTTCTTTTTGTTTTATTTTAACTTTTCATTTCCCTTACTTTGGAAAAGAAAAACATATATACTGAATAAATGAATTATTATCTTGTTAATGTCCCCCAAAACTTACCAGGTCTTTTGGGAGATTTCTAAGAGATATACCGTCACCCGGAGGAGTTTGACTGTAAAGCATCAAGCTCCACAACTGAAATTCACCCCGAGGCTGGAGGTCATGCTCAAACGGAGCCAACTGCTAAGCCTACTGATTCTGTTACAGCTAGGGTCATCTTGATTACGCTGTGGAGAAAAATAATTAGGAATCCAAATAAATATGTTAGTGTGATTGGCCTCACCTAGTCTCTTGTTTCATTCACGTATGTAAAACTAAATAGCTATATTCTTTGCAGTGTATTTTTCTAATCTATTTATTCAAAAATTTAATGGCTTATTGCATTCATGCAGGTCAAATTTTCATATCCTGCTATATTTATTAATTAGATGTTTATTCTTGTTAATGTAAGTCTTGGAATATCCATATTTACACTTGGTAAGTCAATTATCAACTTGATTAAGGATTCTATGCATGCAACATATATAGACATTTTAGCTAGGAAAAATTTAGCTGTCAATTTATTTTTATTTTTATTTTTTTTGTTCTTTTGGCTTGATTCTTCTCAACAAGCTAAAAGTTTTTGTTGTAGGTTTATCTATGGCAGTTCAGCCAAGAATCATATCCTGTGGAAACAAAAATGCTACCTTTGCCATGTCAGTTCGATTCCTAGTGATCGCATGACCTACTAGGAATCTATACCTAGTTCTTCTCCTTCTTTTTCTTCTTCTTCTTCTCTTTCTCTTTTCCTTCACTTTCTCCACATTCGGTAATAAAAAACAAAGAGGAATCTATACAGACGTTTTGGTGGTTAAGTTGGTTGGTTGGTTTTTTAGTCTCTTCTGTTTCACTACTTTAACCTCATTTAATTGAGTTTCATGGTTATTACCAAAACGTCATTTAAAAAATAAAAACCATTTCAACGGAAAAATATTAATTTTGCTTAGAAGTATTACTATCGGGCAAAGCAAGATTGAATTTGGGTCAACAATCACCCAAGTTCGGCTCAACCTTGAAAAAAATTACAACATAAAAAATTACTATTACCCTAAGAAAACTTAAAAGAAAAATTAACTATTTTTGAAGCTTAATTAAGAGGTGAAAACTGAAAAACTAATATTGGAATTTTTATGGCCTCAAAATATATGACGAGGGGTTGCATACGAATTAATTAGTCTGACTACAATGTTATTATTGCTGGAATTTTGTGATTGGTGATTGGGTGTTGTTATCAGTTGACCACTATGCGACCAGATCACAGTTACAAAGGAGTGAGTTTATTTCTCTGTGATGATTTTCTGGCAAAGGCATGGTCAGTTTGTAATAGAACAATCATTTTTAAAGCTGGCACTGCATTAAATACAGATCTATTTCCAGGATGTATAAGCCTTATTAGCTATAGAACTGGCAGTCAATGAAGGCGTTTGGTGGCAGCCATTATCATGTAAAAAATATAGCCTTCTCATTCTGTTGTCATTAGAGCTGAAAAGGATTGTTTGAAAATTTGAATAGATTTTTGTGAATTAGACAAATGGAATTATATTTCTATGCTTTTCAAGTTAAATTTTCGATTGATCGCGACTAAAGGGTCTTTTTGGTTTCAGAAACAATCTTTATGAATAATATTGAAATTTTAATATATAGCCACAAAGGAGAAATTGAAGATATTGGAGTTTCGAATAAAGATGGTATATACAGCAATGCACCATCTCAATTCTGGCGTAGCACCTTGGCTTGCGATCCAAGAGTCTAGGAAAGCAAAGCAAAGCCAATATGTCAGCATTGTAACAACCACTCTCGAAAGAGTGGGCGCTCACTCAATCAATTGTGCGCCCATAAACACTTGAGTACGGAATCTCAATCCTAGGTATGACCTCTTGTGAGCAAGTAATCTCCATTTATGGTACTCCTAACATGTAAGTTTATAGGCGGGGATGAGTTGGTTCAGGGAATCAGTTAGCTTTGGTCAGTTTGGGAAAGGATTACGAAAAAAACAAAAGCAGTGGGGATGTGTATGTAGCAACTCTCCCTTAGCATTTGTAACCGAAAAAAACAATTCAGATGGGACACACACCAAGAATTATTTTGATTGAAATGGCAAGTCGACAACAAACCCACATCACACAATGTATGCATCTCGCTCGGGCGACCCCTGGACAGTTTATATTGAAGCTGATCCTCAATCCATCAGCAGAAACTGAGAAAAGATTTATATATTCACTAAACATCCTTGAAGCTGTCATGAGATATGTACACAAATTTTCTTCCATCATCAGAAGAAGTTGGCATTTTCCTTTCATTTGCTTTATTAAACGATACAGTGGTTCATAAGTCACTCAAAAAAATTTAATTTTGGGGAAGGAAAAGATCGCTTGGAGAGGTGGGGCTAATCTAGTTTTATCTTATGGTGGTGGAACCATTGACATAAGAGTGAGAGTGTATGGATTCGTGCATAGCCCTATATACTAGTTAGGTAACCCCTCTTTATCATGTCCGCAAACTCAAGAAATTCAACACATAATGTTTTGAAATAACGAACCGTTTCTTGGCTAGAGAATAAGACGATGTTAGCGGGCTCATTTTTGAGGTTTTTGGCGGCCCATTGCATACAGTTTTGGCCCAAAATGGCTCCTTAATATAAAGAAATTATTTGATGCCTTTTATGGGCTCAGTTCTCGCCAGAGAGTGTCGTTCCTCCCCTTTTTTTTTTTTTTTTAATTATTAGTTTTATTTTATTATTATGCATTTTCAGTTTCAAGGGGATTGAATTTTAATATTTTGAATAAGGAAATCATGCATCAACCAATTAAATTAAATTTTAGGATTAGATGTTTACCCAACTGAACTAGATAGATAAATCAATTTGTAATATATATTAATTGGCTAAAATACTAAATAAGTTTTTTTCACAAAGATAAGTTATTTTTTTGATTATATTCAAATAATCCTTTATTCTATTATTTATATCTAAATATATTCTTATGTGATGAAATCATGTCATGTTAACCATGTGACCTTAATAATTATTAGACCCATAACAACGGACATG